ATGTGGGGAGTGGTCCGGAGTAGTCTGCAGCTCCATTATGGGCTGACTTACTATCTGAAAGGCTCTCTCCTCTCCCTGAGAGGTTATTCATCCTCTGCCTAGGGATTCTGTCTCTCTCAGGTTTCAGGGTTCATACATCATGATGGTTCTCGGCAAAGCTCTTTACATCACTGGCTGGCTGTGTTCTGACCAGCCTCTTGCTGCCCCCTTTCTCTCCCCACCCTCACTTCATTCCCAGCACCTCCCTTAAGGGAAAGCAAGGTTCTGTTGTAGAAATGGCATGTGGGTGTGATTTCCCATCAGCTCCCACCCCATTTCCATTCCACAATGTAAAATCACATCTCTGCGTGTACCCAGCTGTTGACAGCAGCTCTCCTCCCATCAGCCCCAAATTGGACATTACCCAAATGCCCATCAACAATGGAGGGGTTGAGTCGATTACAGTACCTCCACCCAATGAAATACTAGATAGCAGTGAGGACAAACAGTCTACAATCACATGCAGTAATTTGGATGAATCCCGTGAACATGATGTCGGTCAAAAGCAGCCAAAATCAAAAGAGCACAAACAGTATGCTTCCATACAAAATCGCTCAAAGACAGTTGGGTGTTGGCAATCCGTTGGCTTCGGTCTCTCTTAAAGTACAAAACAGGCAAATGGCGGGACAGTGGTTGTCCATAGTTGAGGAGATGTGACTAGAAGGGGACACACGGGGGACTTCTGGGCTGTTAATTTCCCGTTTCTTGATCCTTGCAGGATATGTGTCCTTGCAGGATACTTACGATATGTGCCCTCCTTTGTATATATGTAATACTTCAACTCAGAATTTTTCTTTGGACAAACCAAAGACAAGGGGATGCCTCTCCCCACCTGGGGTGGTATCCACAGCCCAGGTTCCTCATTCCAGCAGAAGGATCATGGCCATGACTTTCAGGAAGTGATACTTACTTGGGGGCAGTCTAAGGAGGAGGTCCCCGTAAGCTCTCAGCATGTTGCTTTCTTCAGTTCTGCCTTCGTGGTTTCTGTGGTTTGGGGGCGTAGCAATTTCCTTGCTTCATCAGCTGCGGTGACTTCCCCGTGTCTGCTTTTGGTCAACGGAAATGATCCTGAACTCCGCCATCTTCAACAGGAAGTTGAGTTAGATTTCTGAACCCACTGGCGTGGGTGTCGTCGTAAAGAAACAGGCGTGACTCTCTTAGCTAAGGAAAATGCTGGTACTTGTTGAGACCCCTTTGGAGTGATCGCCTTGAAAGACAACACCCCAAGCGGACAGGGCTCAGAGATCAATGGCTATCCCCCGTGTTCTGCTCCTCTCAGTGGAAATGCCTGATGTTTACAGTTTACGGTCAAGCTTTGTCTGAGGAGGGCGTCTCTTCTCCCCCAGAAGGAGAGCACTCCTGGAAGCAAGTGACAGCCTCTCGTCACCCTGCTCCTGCTGCACCCCGGACACTGAACTTCATGGGTGCTCCGCTGCAGGGAACGGCCACATCTCAGCCTTGAACAGCGTCCTCTCCCAGGGCCAGTGGCTGCAAGGTGGCCTCGGTGGGTTCACACCAGCCCAAACCCAGGATGCAGCACAACAGCACAGGAGGCCCACTGGGGGGAGGTCACCTTGATGGCGTGGCATGTCGGTGCCTCAGGGCCTTTGCTTGGCTTGTGCTGTTCCTTCTCCTGGAGCATAGCCTTCTTGCCTCTGTTCTTCCAGGGTTTTCAGGAGGCCCCGCTCACGTCCCTTTGAAGCTCCACCTTCCCTCAAGCCTTTCCTTGGTCCCCTCTGTACTCACAAAATGCCACCCCTGGCTGGTCCACTTTTCTCATCTCGGTGACACTGGTAACCCTGGAAAGCAGGTGGTGTCCTCCCCATTTGCTGCACAGTGAGAGCCAGGCGCAGCAGGCCCAGCCACGTGTTCTGGGAGGCACACGGCTCACAAAGGCTACTTGTTAGGTTTTGAAATCCGATTCTGGAGTGGAGCTCCCCCGTGACGTCCCGTCACATGTGGTCACTCATGGAGCTCTGGTTCCTCCCTCCTCGTCTTAGTCGCCATGCACCGAGCTCTAACTGTGCAGCACTCTGTTCTTTCCGTCTGTCTGTCTGTCTGCTACCGTTATAGCTCTCTGGTGACTTGTGGGCAGAAACACCGTCTCTCGACCCGTGACAGATGGAGATGCATCCTAAGCGGGGTCTGCTTCTCCCGGTCACCACGGGGCCGGCGCCCTTGGCTTTCCCCTGCTTCGCCCGGACGCTTGGTCAGACTTGTGTGCAGGCGAGCGTGGGCAGGTCATGTTCCTGGGGGCCGTTAAGACAGCGGAGGGCGGATTACTGAGACTCCTAGAGTTTCTCAGGAACTTTTTAGGGATTGCATCTGACTTCTTTGTCATTGAGTCACTGAGGTGGTGATGGGACTTGGCCCAGGTCCCAGCGTTTCTCCTGCGCTGCAGAGGAGAATTCCTGAGGCCCCCCCAGACGTAGACGTGCCTGCCGCCCTGTCATACAGGGCGTGCTGCTTGACACGGCGCACCGGCTTCCTCTTCTGTGACAGGCCTCTGGGACCCTCGCGGCAGGGTGACCCCGGGGCTTCAGTGAGGACCACACGGAAAAGCGTCCGAGGCACGACCCTCATGGAACCTCGTCCTTCCGTCTGTCCCCAGCACTCACTTCACCCCGCTCCCTCCAAGCCTGTGGTTCTCTCTTCTTTGCGGCAGGACGTTCCCCAAGCCCAGTACCTGCCTGACCCTCTCTGGCCAGCGGGAAGCTCACCCCCATGGCAGCTCGGATGTCTTGCTGCCTGGCCGATCCTGGTGTCTCGTGGGAGGAGGCGACGCGGTGGGGGCTCTGGGCCATCTCCTCCGCTCCGCTTCCGGCCAGGCTTGGGTGTCAGCCTGTGGGCCTCGGGCAGGCAGGTGTCAGAGCCGGGAGGGAGCAGCCCGCACCCCCCGCTTTCTCCTGGGGCCCGAACCCACATGCCCTCTCAGCTGTGAGATGGTCCCACCTGCCTTGAGGGAAGGTTAGTGATGGTCTCTTGGCACTTGAGCTTGGCCTCTGGAGAGTTCAGGCCCTCCCCTTTGTGGAGAATTCAGGGGTTCGGGGTGACCAGAGAAGACACAGGACCAGGAGGGGCAGTAACAACAAGTGTTTTGTGGCATTGGAATAGCTCGCTCGCTGGTGAGGGAAAGTCCCTCCCAGCAAGGGGCCTTCAGTGATGTGTGACCACCACCCAGAAGGGGAGGGAGAGTCACACGGGGGCTCACGTGGGTAGTGACGTCACTCAGAAGCCTGATGGGCGGACTTGGGGTCACAGAACTCCCTCGTTTGGGGTCTTTTATTGTCCCAGGGTTTGTCTCAGCTGTGGCGAGCCAATGTGGGGTGCAGGTTCATGGGTGATGTAAAGTAGACGAACACTAATTAGCTAATAAGGTGTTTACTTGGGGAGGGTGCTGGGGGGGTGCAGCCGCTTGAGCACCCAACTTTTGATTTGGGCTCAGGTCATGATCTCGGGGTCTTGAAATGGAGCTCCACGTGGGGCTCCCTGCTCAGTGGGGCGTCTGCTATCTCCCTTTCCCTCTGCACCCCCTCCCCACTCAGGAACACTCTCTCTCCTGAAAATAAATCAATAAACCTTTAAAAAAAATAAAAAAGAGATGTTTATTTGGACTGTATTTACAGCAACTGGATGTGTGAGAGCTGGAGTTTGGTGCTAGGGCATCAGGCTAACAGTCCTACCTGCTGTGCCGACGTGAATAACACGGGAGTCGCTTGAGGCTAGTATCACGGCCCGGCTCTGGCTTATGCATATAGTATCCCCCAGCCCTCCATCACTCTCCCTAGCTGGCTTATTAAAGAATTTCTTTCAGCCCTACGTGGCCATTGTCCCAGAGTTCCGGTGCGTTCTTCTCCCTCAATCTCGTTAGATAGCCTTAGTGCCGGAGTGATGCCCAGACCTCAGACAGAAGGTGCCCCGGGGACGCCGCCTGCCTGGCCGGACCCTCGTTCTTACCACTTAGGCAGTGTCACCATGAATCTTCATTGACTGCTGTCCCCAGCGTGGTCCTTCTAAAATGCTATCCTAATTCTGCCACTGCCTATCTCGGAAGACTTCCCTCACCTTCCAGTTAGCAGCATGGAGCCTCTCTGCGGGTAACCACGTATATTTACGGCAAAGCCCCCACCATCCGGGGGATGGATTATGCTGGGTAATTCCATTTTCCAGATCGCCAAGAGTATGTCTCCTTCAAGCCTTGCTTGCTTGTTTTTAAATCTGATTGCTTTCGGTGCAAATCTTCGTCCAATATATTCTTAGTCATCTTAAATAGAAGCTTCTGTGAGTACATTGTGTATTTCCTCAAGGGCCATATTGAGATACGGTTCACGCTCTCTGCAGCCCGCCCACTGATCTTGTGTCTTCCACCCCAAGACCGAGCCCAGTGTCACCAGCGGAGCAGGCGTTACAGACAGCTGCTGGATTGAGCTGGAGCCCCCCTTCAGATCACCTCTCTTGGAGAAGTTAGGGTCTTCTGCCCGGAAGCAGTGGTGCCCCTCTGTGCCCGGTGACATGCCCGGGACTGACTGTCCCAGCACTGGAGGTTCCCAGGCTGCCGGTGTTTAATTTCTCACGTGGGTTTTTTTGTACTTTTGTTGGTCCTCCCTTCCTTCCTGGGGCTAGCTGCGGTCACTGTAGCTGCCTCCAGCGATGCCGGAGCCCCAGGGGCCTGCTGCTGCGGCTTGCTGGAATGGCGTAGAAATGAGTGCTGTGCTCATTACTCTTAGGGGGTGGGATACCCTCCCATTCCTCTCTTTCCCTGCGGCCGATCAGGGTTCACATGGCTTCTACGAGAACGAGGAGCAAGCAGGGGCAGTGAAGGCTGGGGGCGTAAGGGACTTGTTCAAGGTCACGCCATGGGCTCGTGGCCGAGTCGAGACCAGGCCCTTCCTCTGTGCTGTTGTGCCCACTGGCCTCTCAGGAAGTGACTCTCCTGCCCTCTCTCTCTCTGTGTCTCTCAGGGGTCCTCAGTGAGTTTTGTCATGGTTATTTAAGGAACCTCGCCTAGAAGTCCCCACACGCATTTCCCCATCGACGGGAAGGCTCGGACTCCAAGATGATTATAAAGGAATATCGGATTCCTCTGCCCATGACCGTGGAGGAGTACCGCATCGCCCAGCTCTACATGATCCAGGTGGGTCGTGGGGCCGGGGCGGGCCACGTGGGGCACACAGATGGCTCTCAGCACACTTGAGGGGGCAGGAGGCGGTGGGGGCATCGCAGCCTTGGCAGCACAGTGTCTGCCCAGTAGGCTCCTGGCAAACGTGTGAACTGCACGGCGTTCTGGCTTCCCAGCACGACGCTGGGAGCACAGCGGAGCGCTGGGGATATCCGGGGCATTGGGAGGTCTTGCCAAGGTCTCATTCACAGCTTTGACGGCACTAACACTCTGCGTCTAATACCTGACCTCTCACCGACGCAGATGCTGTCTGTGTGTTTGGTCAGCGTGAGCGGCTATAACCAGCAGCACACACTGGGGGCTTGGACAGGAGACGTTTATTTCTCTGAAGTTGAAGTCCAAGGTGAAGGTGCTGACAGACTGGCGTCTGGTGCGGGCCCTCCTCCGGCTTGCCTGGACGGCACCTTCTCACTGTGTTCTCAATGGCGGAAGGGGCAAGGGAGCTCTCTGGGGTCGCTTCTGTGAGGGCTCCGCTCTGGGGGCTCCGTCCTCGTGACCGCTTCATCTCCCAAAGCTTGACCTAGTGCTGTGACATGGGAGGTTGGGGGCTTCAACGTGTGAATTTGGAGGGACACAGAAATTCAGGCCATTTGACAGATAGGAAGGTGGGAGCCAAGGAAGGTAAACAACTTGCCTGGGAGCACCTGGCCTACTTTCCGGTTCCCTAAGATGCCTGCAAGACAGCGGTATCCGCTGTGTGGCTGATTTAAAGTCACAGATGAGTCTGAAGATGACCGATTCCTGTGACAAGCCTGAGAATACCATGCCTCTCCTCTCCATCGGCCACCGGTCTGGCCCTCCCGCCTAGACGTTGGGGGCCTCCCTGCTCAGAGCCTGGCTAACCCAGAGCACAGAGTGGGAAGACCTGAGATCGGGTTGCTTGTGGCCCAGATGTGACCGCACTCCTATTAGCTGGGGTCCTGCCCCTGAATGGGGGTCCCCCTCCCAGCTGCCCTGCCAGTATGGTGCTCCTCCTCAGTGCCCCCTTGGCCTGGCCCGGCAGCTTTCCTCCCAGTGGGGAGTCTGATTACGAGCCTGCTCTCACCTGGGGCTGCTCTCCCGGCCATATGGATGGCTCGGCGCGGCCCCTAGACCATGGTGTCACAGGGGGCCCTTGGTGCAGGGAGAGCCCTGGCCGGCAGGGCTCTACCTCCACCCCTGGAACTGTTTGGTAGGTGCTCACCCATCGGCCCGGGTCTAGTGAGTTACTAATGAGCTCCCTGCAGAGCCCAGTCCCCCAGTCCCTTCTGGAAGGAGCCCTGTGAAGCTACCAGAGTTTGCACACCACCCCCTACCACCCAGCACAGGAAGCTTGACTAAGAGGAGAGCAGAAAGTGAGCCAGACTCTCTGGGGGGGCTCTTGGCTCCAAGCGCCTCAGAAGTGCCACTCAGTTCCCTCTTGAACCACTCACCCCGTGATTATTCCTGGAGAGTGGGGAGAAGAGAAGGGACTTACCTCAGCCCCCTAGCTCTGAGCTCTCTGGAAATCACTCAGTTTATTCAAGGACACTCTGCACCCTGTGGCTCCCCAAGTCCCACCCGAGCCAGGGTGCCCAGACCGGGCTTCCCCCCAGCTCCACCGTGCCCACCATGCCCTTGTGGGGGGCATCAGGATCCAGGGACTCGCTTTTTTTTTTTTTTAATTTTATTTATTTATTTGACAGACAGAGATCACAAGTAGGCAGAGAGGCAGACAGAGAGAGAGAGGAAGAAGCAGGCTCTCTGTGGAGCAGAGAGCCCGATGTGGGACTCGATCCCAGGACCCTGAGATCATGACCTGAGCCGAAGGCAGAGGCTTAACCCACTGAGCCACCCAGGCGCCCCTCACGGACTCACTTTTAACTCCAAGGATATCCCACGGCTTTTTGGAGCATGTGGTCACCTCTGACTGGGCTCCCCAGAAGCACCGGCCATCCTCACCCCCTTTTTCCAGGGTATTTTGTTCTTTTCAAAATATCTATCCCTATGCTTCCAATTAATGTTCAATATCCCATAGTCCCCTACGTGATCACTCCTATGGCCCTGGGCTGCCTGTGTGTTTGCTCATCCGAGCCCCACTGACACCTGTCACTCAGGGCCACCTCCCTCTGCTCCTGCTTTGTCACCGTCTTACCTCCCACTGGCCCCCGAGCTCCTGGGGGCTCCATCCACCATGGGGGGTGACTGATGAGTGTATTATTGCACTGTGTGACAGTTTCACGGGTGCAAACACACGTCCAAGCTCACCAGCTGTATTTGTACATGTATGTGTTTGGTTGTGTGCCCATCGTATCTCAGTAAAGCTGTTAAAACACTGAGTCGAATGCTCTGGGCCCAGCCAGGGCTGAGGGCCGAGTTACAGAGAAGAATGGAAAGGGTTTGCCGCTCTCCAAGGGGTGGATGCATGTGCAGCTCACCGAATGTAGGCCGGGAGACAGCGCGGATGTTCTCGTGGGCCTCGGGCCAGCGCCCCCGGAGCACCTCTGCTGTGTGCTGCGCCTCACGCGGTGGACAGGCCTTCCGGGAGAGCAGCTGTGTTTCTGCGGAAAGAAGAGCAAGTGTGTTTCCATTGCTCTCGACCCCGCTTACCAGCTGGGGTGGCAGCCAGCCACGGAACTGCCTTCTGAGTCCACCGTCTCCTCCACGGGGCCGTGAGCCCGGTGGGGCGAGCTTGCGTGTCGAACTGCTTCGCGCTTGCTGACCGACACTCGATATACATGCTGCTCAAGACAACAGCAGCAACAAAAAAAGAAAGGAAAAGGAAAACAAAGAAATCGGTCTGGCCGGGAGCCTCCCATCACCTGTAGAGGTGGTGGAAGTGACCAGAGGTGGCTTGGCCAGGACCCTGGACAGCTTTGAGACTGGCGCCCTCGATGGGGCTGGGGGCATTCTTGCTCTTTGAGTCCTTCATGCCCACCCCTCATAGGGCCCCTACTTTTTCTGTGCCAGGCCCTTGGTGGCCAGGCCCCTCCCTGCAGCCCCCAGATCCCACAGGATCAGCCTGTGTGGGCAAGGGTCATGGGCCAGCCCCCCGCCCCTCGCACGTGTGCCCCCCCGGGGAGCTGGGCTTGTCTCTGCCCCCCTTCCGCAGTCTCCCTGGGAGGCTCCATGGCGCAGCTTGCAGGAACGGTTGGCAAGGCGGGGGTGGCTTCTGGTGTGGGCGGAGAAGGTCAGCACGGTTCGAGGAGGGCTTACTCCCGTGTGGCATGACCAAGAGCCTCAGTTGCGCAGGGGATGGGGCACTTCCGGAAGCTGTTGCCAGAGGAGATCTGAGGGTCAGCGCTTTGGGGCGTTAGCTCTATGGTTGGGGGCCGTGCCGGGAAGGCAGTGGTGACGGCTGAGACCAGGATCCGCTTGTTTGTTCAGCTCCTCTTTACTGTGGGGCGAACGCAGTGCCCTGCAGGGAGTACGGACGCTCTCCCAGTCTGGGTCCCCAGGGCTGTGCCACTGCTAACTGTGGCCCCTGTGCCCCCGGACGGCCCTTGGCATCCGTCCCCCGTGAGTGACCATAAGCACTTGCTCCGCTGCTTGACTCGTGTCCCCAGAATTCGTGTCCGTCCAGAACCTCAGGCTGTGACCTTGTTTAGAAGCAGGGTCTTTGCAGATGTAGTTAGTTAAGGATCTTGGGATGAGATCATCTGGGGGGGGAGAGTGGGCCCTAAATCCAACGGCTGTTGTCCCCATAGGAAGAAGGGAAGCCAGGGAGAGACCCGGCGAAGGTCATGTGGCGGTGGAGGCAGAGAGAGCAGAGTGATGTGGCCACAAGCCCAGGAACGCCGAGGGCCCCTGGAATCAGAGGAAGGCAAAGCAGGATCCTCCCCTCGAGCCTCAGGAGGGAGCCTCTGGGATGGACAGGCCGGCCGTCTCAGGCCAGGAGTCTGAGGGCAACTGAGGCTCAGGTCACCCGAATGGACAGAGGCTTCTGTGTAGCCCACGGAGGCCTGTGGGACCCTCCCCACCCCTGCTCCCTGTTTCCCATCTCTTCTGCGTTGGCTCCCTGGCAGGCCGCCCCCCCCCCCGGCAGCCCTTGGAGACTCCAGGCACCCCTCGCTCCTCTGACCTGCATGTCCCCTTCTCACTGAGCCACTCTGAACCCCAGATATGGGGCCGCCATAATAAAGCATCCCAGACTGGAGGGCCTAAAGCCACAGAAATGTACTTGCTAACAACAGTTCCTAAGGCCAGAAGTACCAAACCAAGGTGTTCAGTGGGGCCGTGCTGCTCCCGCTGAAGGCTCTGGGGGGGGGATCCTACACTGCCTCTTCCAGCCTCTGGGGGCTGCCGGCTTCCTTGGCTGGCGGCTGCGTCCCTCCTGTTGGTGCTTCTGTCCTCACTTCTTCTAAAGACACAGTAGGACGTGGATTGGACGTAGGACCATAGATCGGATATTGAATTTTGGAAACTGACACCAGAGAGAAGTGACTCCTCCAGGACAAGAGGGAGCCCCTTCAGCTCTATTAGCCCATGCCGTCGCACCTGCAACCTGGGACGGCAGCATACTGCACTTTCTCAAGGGGCTGCTGCCGTCACAAAAGGAGAAACTACGTGCAAAGAAAGCACATGGCACAACCAGAAGGAACAAAGCTACCGCGAGAGGCAGGAGCTTCCAAAGTGTCGGGGGCACGGTCGCTGCTTTCATGACGGAATCTGGACCACGTTCCAGGGGCTCTTTTAAAGAGTGCGTCCCCGCAGACTCTGTCTGTGACCTCCACAGGGGTCTTTCCTACTTTTTTTTTTTTTCTGACGGGGACTCAGGTGCTCTGGGCCACGGACATAGAGCATGTCTTTGTGCCCCAGGGGTGAGGCCGTGCTCTCGGGAGTCCCTATGTGTGTGCACGTGGGCGAGTACACTTATGAGTGTGTGTGTGTGTGTGTGTGTGCGCGCACGCATGCATACGCACACACCTGCTGTTCAGGAAGCTGACCGAAGATGGCCTCGGCGATGCCATCACATCACTATGGAAACAGATGCTGGGATTAAAGTCACCAGGACCGTGACCACAAGGCTTCCTGCATAAGCAGAAACCTGAGCTTTTGGGCACTGGGAAGAACATTTGGGGCAGAGAGACACTCGGAGGTGACCCAGGCGTCGTGTCTCCCAGGCAGCGGCACCGAGGCCCCTTCCTGCATTCCATGTTTGATCTCTCTGAGACCCTAATGAGTACAGACACAGGGCTGGTTTCCTTGTGTTTGTTTTGTTTTATACCAGCTGGATGGAGATGTAAGTGGCGCCCCACACAATTCACACATTTAAAGTGTACAGTTTAGGGGCTAAACTCACAGCTGTCAAACCATCACCACGACTTCAGAGCACTGTCGTCACCCCAAGAAGTCACTCTCCATCCCCCACCCCACCCCCAGGCAGCCAGGAGTCTGCTTTCTGTCTCTTTGGGCTGGCCTGTTCTGGGGATTTCTTACCAGCAGGAATGCACGTGAGGTGGCCTTTTTACATGTTCTTACACATGTTCTTAATGGGCTTCTTACACATTGTTTTCAAGGCTCATCCACGTCATGGCAGGTGGCCGCGCGTCCCTCCTTTTATGGCTGAATCCTCGCCCCTTGTGTGGGTACAACTCGTTCTCCCGTTCTTCGGATCACGGACGTTTGGGTATTTCCACCGCTCGGCTCCTGTGAATAGAGCCTCCGTGGACATTCGTGTACAGGTTTCCGTGTGCACGTGGTTTCCTTTTACTGGGTGTATGCTTAGCACCGGCATTGCTGGGTCCTCTGGCAATTCTGTGTGGAGCTTTTCTGAAGAACCACCCAACTCTTGAATGCAGCGGCTGCACTGTTGCACGTCCCCACGAGCTGTGCCGGGCTGTTCGTTTCTCCACATCTTTGCCGGCACTTGGCATCGTCTGCCCTTTCAGCCGTGCTGCCGGCTCTGGACCGGTAGTAGTAGTGTTGATTCGCGTCTCCCTGGGGACGAGTGATGTTGAGCCTCTTTTCGGGTCCCTGTCGACCATTTATACACTTTAGAGAAATGTCTGTTCGAGTCCTTCGGTATTTGAATTGGGTTCTTTGTTGTTGAGTTGTAGTAGTTCCTAATATTTTAGAGTCATTATTATCACATACTACCAGATACTTACACGCATTTTATCCCATTCTGTGAGTTGTCCTTTTCCCCCTCTCTGTGCCATCCTTCGATGCACAAAAAGTTTAAAACTTTTTATGATGTCCAACTTATCTGTTTCCTCTTTGGTCACTCATACTTTGGGTACCGTATTTTAAAAAGCCATTGTCAAATCCAAGGTCATGAAGATGTCCTGCTATGTTTTTTTCTAGAAGTTGTAGAGTTTAAGCTCTTACATTTAGATCTTTGATCCATTCTGGGTCCATCTCTATGTTGGACCCATGAGGGAGGGGTCCAACCTCACTGTTTTGCATGTGGATAGCCTGGGACATATTTAAAAGACTCCTTCCGCACATTGGATGATCTCAGCACTCTGGTTGGAAAATCGGGATATATAGTATATAGATATGGGGGTTTATTTCTAGACTCTCGACCCTTTTCTTTGGATCTATCCTATGCCAATACTACATTGTTTTGATCACTGTAATTTTGTAGCAAGATGTCACGTAGGATAGTGTAATTGCTCCAACTATCCCTTGTTTTGTTTTCAAGATTGTTTTGGCTCTTTGAGTTCCTGCACGAATCCTTCCTGATTTTAGGATCAGTTTTTCCATTTCTACCAAAAAGACCCCTAGGAATTTTGACAGGGATTGCACTGGATCTGTAGACGGCTTTGAATGTTGGGGATTTGGGGAATATCGACATCTTCGCAATATTAAACCTTCCAGCACATGAACTTGGATGTCTTTCCATTTATTTAGATCCTGATTTTCTTTTAGGGACGTTTTATAATTCTAGCATGGAAATGTTTCACCACCTTGTTAAATTCCCCCCCCCCATTTTGTTCTGTTGGATGCTCTTGTCTGTGGAAATGGTTTCTTTGTTTCCTTTCTGCACTGGTTACTTCTGTATCCTGCAGCTTCGCTGAATGCATTTACTAGGTCTTGACCGGTTTGGGGGATCCTTCAGGATTTCCCATATATGAGATGATGTCATTGGCAAATTGAGATGGTTTTAGTTATTCCTTTCCAATCTGAGTGCCTCCCATCATTTCTTTTTCTTGACTGATTTTTTTTTTTAAGATTTTATTTATTTATTTGACAGAGAGAGATCACAAGTAGGCAGAGAGGTAGGCAGAGAGAGAGGGGGAAGCAGGCTCCCTGCTGAGCAGAGAGCCCAATGTGGGGCTCGATCCCAGGACCCTGGGATCATGACCTGAGCCGAAGGCAGAGGCTTTAACCCACTGAGCCACCCAGGCGCCCCTCTTGACTGATTGCTTGGGCTAGAACCTGCGGTACCATGAGGACTAGAAGAAAGAAAGGGGGCTTCCTCACGTGGTGTCTGATCTTGAGAACATGGTCAGTGCTGGGACCGGCAGGAGTCACAAGGGAGCACTGTGCCCGAGCAGCACTGGTGCCAGGAGGGAAACCACAGCCTGCTCGGTCTCCTGCAAGAGTGCCGGGGCATGTGGAGTCTGGGTCTGGATTTGGGGGTCCAGAAGTGACACCAGAGAAGCCAGACCAGTTGGCCAGAGCCTCTCCTCCTCCCAGCACTCCTGGGCCTGGCCTGCTCAGCCCCTTCCCTTCTGCAGAGTGCTCTGTCCCCAGCCCCTCACAAGTGCTTTTGTTCCCACAGAAGAAGAGCCGGAACGAGACGTATGGCGAAGGCAGCGGCGTGGAGATCTTGGAGAACCGGCCGTACACGGACGGCCCTGGCGGCTCGGGGCAGTACACACACAAGGTGTACCACGTCGGCATGCACATCCCCAGCTGGTTCCGCTCCATCCTCCCCAAGGCAGCCCTCAGGGTGGTCGAGGAGTCCTGGAACGCCTACCCCTACACCCGAACCAGGTGGGGCTTTCCCCACACCCTGAGCTGTGGGGCAGGGAAGGAACCCTGGCCACGACCCCCTAGCAGGCTCACCCTCCACACTCCAGGGAGCCCAGGCCCTGGGGGAGCTGAGCCTCTATTCCAGGAGCCTCTGTCCTCAAGGATCGGCAGGAGAGGGGAGGGTCCACCGAGATACCTCACCACCTGCACAAGGGAGGCTGGGAAGGCGTGAGGCAAGTGAGGGCCACCTGAGACCCTATTGGCACATGGGAGGGCTCAGGGAGTACAAACCCCTCTCAGTGATCACCTGACGGTGTGGGACCACTGAACAACCAAGGGTAGACCAGATGGCCCAGAGGGTCCCTCCCACCCTGTGGCCTTCAGCACCTGTGACACTGTTGGATCAGATTCTACTCTGAATGGGGCTTTCTCGGCTTCCCAAAAAAAGGGGGGTCTTCACTCCATGCCCCATCCTCTCCCACCCATGTAGCTGAGTAGAACAGACGGGGCTGCTCCCCCCCCCACAACTCTGTAGGTGGGGGCCCCTGTGCATTATCTCAGGCTTCGTCTCCCCACCACCACCGCCAGGTGAGGACCTGGGGTTTGTCAGAGGATCTGCTGAGGTTAGTTCTCTTCCCAGAGGCACTTTCCTCCTCTGAGCTCACCTCCACCCAACAGGGCTTGTCGCCTTGTTGCCGGACCTGGTAGCTTGGGGGTGGGGATTTGGGACTCGGCATGTCACAGAGTGCTGGTCTGGATCCATGCCACATACTTGGGGCATGTCTGTGTGTGCCTCTGTCCCTGCTGTGCCTTACACATGGGACGATGGCTTCAGGGCTTCTGGCAACTTCCTGTGACGTCTCCCTCTTCCCCCTAAACACATCCCCACCCCTACAGCCTGGCCTTGGCAGTTCTCTGGACAATGGAAAGGTTCCTGAGGTGGACAGGACAGGCACATCTCAGCCACCCCTCCAGCCCCTTCTCCCTCTCTGGCTTGGCAACCCGGCCCTCCCACAGTCACCCCTGCAAGCCGCCGCCCCTGACGCCGGCTTTCCGTCCACACACAGGTTCACTTGCCCCTTTGTGGAGAAGTTCTCCATCGACATCGAAACCTTTTATAAAACGGACGCTGGAGAAAACCCGAACGTGTTCAGCCTGTCTGCTGTGGAGAAGAACCAGCTGACGATCGGTAACTACCCGAACTGCCCTCCCAGCCCCAGGGAGGACCTGAGCCCTGTAGGGCCACTTCCCAGCTCTTCCTGCCTGCGTGACCCCTTAGTTCTGCCCCTGGTCTCCGGGCCTGGCCAGCTGCAGACTGGCCCCTGTCCCGGGCAGGAGGTCAGAGTCCAGGCAAGCATGAGGGCACCGGGAGGGGGCCGGGACCAGCCTCCTTGGCCCCACGTTCCTGACGCACACGCCGAGGCTGGGGGCCTTTCCCACTCAAGCCCTTCTCCTCCATCCCTCCAGGGGGGCATCTCAGGCTGAATGTCGAGCGTGAGTGCCGTGGGCACTGTGGGGGCTGTGTCCCCTTGATGGTAGACAGCCCCGTGTGTTCAGCCTTCTTTAAGAGAGGCCAGAAATCAGGATTTGCCTGTGAAATCTTCCAGTTCCGAGATAAACGTATGCAGGCCGCGCAGACCACACCTGTGGGCCCCCGGCAGCTCCGCAGTCGCAGGGCCCCAGAGAGTGAGCCCAGGGGGCAGGGGAGGGACCGCAGGCAGGTGCAGGACCCTCATGGAAGAGGTGGCTGCCGGCGCCCCGGGGCCATGCTCTCAGACAGCCTCTGATGGGCACGAAGGCTTTTCCCGGGGAGCCCTCACCCCACCCCTCCCTCCTGCTGGAGTTCCGGGCCCCCGGGGTTGGAGAGCTTTAGGATTCTGCCTGGGCTGCTGTAACCAGGGACCAGACAGGGACAGAACCCAGGAGCTCACGGTCTCACAGTCTGGTGGCCAGAAGTGGCGGCAGCGCGTCAGCAGCCTTGTCTCCTTCTGGGGTCACTGACGCAGACTCTGTTCCGGGCCCTGCCCCTAGCTTCTGGCGGCTGCCGGCAATCTCCAGCCTTCCTTGCCTTGGAAACTCATCACCCCAGTCTCTCCCCCATCTTCACGTGCAGTTCTCCCTGTGTGTGCTTGTCTAGGTCCGAAATTCCCGTTTTTACAAGCGCGTTAATCATAGTGGAGGACGGCCTCCTACCCTAATGACCTCATTTTAATTTGATTACATCTTTAAAGTCTTTATCTCCAAATAAGGTCACAGTCTGAGGGACTAGGGGGTCAGGACTCCAACATATGTGTTGGGGGGGCGGGCGGGACACATTCTACGCACAGCAGGAGGGATGGACCCAGCATGACACAGGCCCTCCGCCAGCCCTGGTCCAGCCAGCCTCAGACACTGCCTGAGCTCCGTGGGCTCCCTCCAGAGGCCATGTGCGCCGGCTCCTAAGTCTCTGAGATATGACTCATTCACACCCAGCTCTCCCCTTGGTGGCCTTTGCCTGCCCACACTGGCCGCGCACGTGGTCTGCTCCTAGAAGGATCTTTGACCCCCCCAAATGCTGCTGCCCTTGGGGGCGCTCCTGACCCCTTGCTGGTTTCAGTAGAGCCCTCATCTGTGTCTGCAAACCACAGCATAGATCCCAAGTGGGGGAGACGATACAGCCAGAGCCTGGCCAGGGCCCGGCCCCCCAGGTGCCATTATCCCCACACATCCGGGAGAGGGGCTCTCTGAGCCACAAACTCTGTGCTGGGATCTTTGTGCCCCAAGTATGTACCCAGCCCTGAGTAACCCACACACACATTGGGAGGGACACAGCAGGAGGAAGAAGCATGGGACAAGAGGTGGCATGGCCCAGGTCCTTCCCAGAGTTGCTGCTGCTCCTCTGGGCCCCACGCCCCACACCCAGCCAGGTTCCACCGGCCCCAAGTCCTCTTTCCCCAGCACCCAGCCCTGTGCTCTCCACTCCCCACTCTCAGGACCAGCTGAGGTCCGACATCTCTTGCCGGTCTCCTCCTTTCTGATCGAAGAGCAGGGCAGCCTGCCTTAAAGCCACGATTGAAATACAAGTTGAATATGGCGCCCCTTCCCCCTCAGGGTGCTGTGGGGTGCCCGGCCTGGTGAGAGCAATTTGCATCCCCGTCCCCTCCCTGCACACACACACACTCCAGTGGCTCCCCAGACTCTCCCATCCTGTGCTGTGGGGCCTTCCTGGCTTCACTGCTCCGCTCCTGGAGCCAAAATGCCACCTTTTCTGAGAAGCTCTTCCTGGCCTTCTTTTCCGTTTGCTGCTCCCCACCACCACCGCGGTCCTAGCCCGTATCCCCTGCGGAGATTCATCTGTCCGTGCCTCCTCAGCTCATCACCTGATTTATCTGTGTAGAGGCAGAGGAGGACGCAGGCCCCGAGGTCAGGAGAGCCCAAGGTCAGAGTGGCCCAAAGCAGCAGCCCCCATCCCATGTCCGGCCCTACGGCATATGAGGCCCAAAGGCCTGGGAGGCTTTGGGGGAGGCAGGGACACAGGGAGGGGACCGAGCAGGGAGGGGTGGGTGGAGGAGGGGCAGAAGAGGCCACTGGCAGGCTCTCCCCACAGATTTCATCGACATCGTCAAGGACCCCGTCCCCCCCAACGAGTATAAGACGGAAGAGGACCCCAAGCTGTTCCACTCGATCAAGACGCAGCGGGGGCCCCTCTCTGACAACTGGATCGAGGAGTACAAGCAGCAGGTGTTCCCCATCATGTGTGCCTACAAGCTCTGCAAGGTGGAGTTCCGCTACTGGGGCATGCAGTCCAAGATCGAGAGGTTCATCCACGACACCGGTGAGCCCGCCCGTGCCCGCCGCCCTTCGCGTCTGGCCGTGACTCGACGTTCCGCTCTTACTCCCGAAAGACGACCCAGAGCCCCTGTGCAGCTTCCCTTGAGGTTTACATGGCCGCCTGCCGAGTGCCCAGAGGTGACAGGCAGTGTGCGTCGGTTGTCCCCTTAAGAAGCCCCAAGGACCATCCCCCAGACGTTCTGGACAGGCTTGTGTTTGTGGCATCTAGTGCCAACCCCCTGGGCAGGGGAGACCCGCTCCCTGCTGCTGACCCGCCTCCCCCGTGGGCTGGATGTCACAGGGGGACACCCACGTGCCCTCACACCATGGAGCCTGGCCTGGAGCCGGTAACCAGGGAACAGGTGGACCACTGGGCTCAACCTGGGCCTCCTCTCTCCCCGGTACCCTCAGCTCCCTACTTGCCCCCTGCCCCCCAGTCATGGCATGAGGTCAGTGCCAAGGGCCCAGCCCCGCCTAAGCCTCGTGAACTAGAAGTGGCATCTGGATAGATACCTTTTGACTCCCAGAACCAGGGTTTTGGTTTCGATGTGAGGAGAGCCACACCCCTGAGACTATGTGTCCCGTGTGTCCTGTCAGCTCACAATGACTGATGACGGCAGTCCCCTAACCCCTGCTGGCAGAGGAGGAAGCAGAGAAGCAGAGACCCCCACTCCTGCAGCAGGGGGCAGGGGCATGTCAGCAGACGGTTTCTTGGGTGTGGGACCCAAGGGTGCCATGCCTGAGGCCGTGGCCCAGGACTTGGGGGTCAGAGACAGTCCGGGCTGAAAGAAGGCGCCCTCCAGGGAACAGCGGGTGGAGGGATTTAGGAAGGACTGTGGGGGAGGCAGAGTGGCCTGAGCCAGGAGGAAGGGTCACAGAGTGCCTTGGAAAGCCGCTCCACTTTCTCTAGGAAAGTGGAAAATACATGCCCCAAGACCTGGTGACATCCCTCCCAGGTTTGCCCCCAAGAGAAACTCTTGTACATGTTCCAGAATGTTCAGAGCAGCAGATCCGTAAAAGCTAAGTGGACAGACAGGGAAAGTGAGCCAAAGGCCCAAGGACAAAAGAAGGAAGAAGTAAAATGGTGTTGCAAACAAGTAAATACCAGACAGCAGCAAACCTGAAACCCACCCAAAGAGAACCCCCCAGGGGTCAGGAAAAGACACGGCCGCATGGCATGTCCATGTAAACATCAGCAACGCGCACATCAGCCCAAAGTGTCATGTGGAAGATCACATGTGTGGGCTGCAGCAGGAGGGGAAAGTCACTGACACGCAGAAGTGAGGGGTGGGGCGGGAGGAGAGGGCATCCAGGAGGGCCGTCCCAGCGCCCCCTGCTGCTGGTCGCGGCGGTTCCCTCCCGGTTCAGCGTGGGTCGGGATGATGCTCTTTTTCTTCTTAATGTTTTCCTAGCGAGCTTTATTGAGGCCTAATTTTGAATTACCATACACTTCACCCCTTGCGAGAGGACAGTTCTATAAGTGGCAGTGTATTCAGAGTCGTGCACACGGTTCTAGAACATTCCGTCCCCCCAGTCTTTTGTTCATGTTAACAGTCACCCCCACGCCCACCCCCAGCCCCAGGCAACCCCCCTCTGCCTTCTGTCCCTAAAGCTCTTTTATTATCCTTTATACCTTGAAAGTAGTCTCATTTTCGTTATTTGGCTTGCCTGGTATAGTCTTCTGCGTCTTACTTTGTCTTATTTTGTATCTTATTTTATATGTATATATGCTCTATTTGTGAGAAAAGACCAACCCACTTTGCACTGGAACTTGATTTCCATGTGAAAATTCAATAGCAAAAGTGTACTAGACACTGACAGGAGACAGTGAGGGAGTCCTCCCTCCAGTGCCCCCTGGGGCAGGAATCCCCCCAAAATTCATCTTGACTTTTGAGCAGCCACATTCCCTCACGAGGCCCCTTTGCTCCAATTGTAGAACCTCATGAGGCCATCTGTGAGCCAGACCCCTCATTTGCAGATGGGGAAACTGAGGCACGGGGGGGGGGAACAGTGATTTGCCCACAATCCCACAGTGGGTATAACCTCGGGGTGCCTCCCAGCCCCACGCCCAGCCCTGGGACCTAACGCTGCCCCTCTCTCCTATCCCTCCTGTCTCCCTACCCCCCGCCCCCCACCCGCCGCCTGGGGGCAGGCCTGCGGAAGGTGATGGTGAGGGCCCACAGGCAGGCCTGGTGCTGGCAGGATGAGTGGTACGGGCTGAACATGGAGAACATCCGGGAGCTGGAGAAGGAGGCACAGCTCATGCTGTCCCGCAAGATGGCCCAGTTCAGCGAAGATGGCGAGGAGGCTGCAGAGCTGGCCGAGGACGAGGCCGGCCAGGCCCAGCTGCCCGGGGACGCCCCCCAGCCCAGCAGTGGCAGCGGCGGGGAGCCCCTGGCGGGCCGGGGCCTCAAGAAACAGTGGTCCACGTCCTCCAAGTCCTCGCGGTCCTCCAAGCGGGGAGGTGAGCACCGGGGCATGTAGCACGTAGCGCCGCCTTTCTCCAGGTCGGGGAGGGGGGTGTCTCTGCCTTCCTCGAGTGTACCCCAGGGACAGCCCTCACCCCCGTCCGCGGCAGCCAGTTGCTGCCACTGCTGGATAATTCTGACTCCAGACAGGGATTCTTGCTTCCCAACCTGTGGGCCACACCGGTGGAGAGTCAGAACCGTTCCCTGCCCTCAGCCCCGCAGCTCAGAGTGCACCCAGGCTGCCTGCCCCCGCAGCAGGTGCCCCCAGACGCCCCTACAAGGGCCGTGAGGACTGCAGCTCTGAGTAGCCGGTGTCCCCAGCAGGAGGGGGAGTCTGGGTGGGTTCCCCCAGCATGCCCAGGAGGGGTCTCTGCTGCTGGGGCAGGAGCCAGGCTGGAGAAGCCAAAAGAACCTTTAGAGCCTGAGAAAGACCTTTCCCGGAAGAACTTCAGCCAAAGTGCGGTGGCCGTTTGGAAAAACCAGGGTATCCTGTTTATAGCCAGGAGTCTCCGTTCAAACCCAGCGTCCCCACGCCGGGCTGGCCTGTGTGTGTGCCGAGGGGCTCTGTGGATGTCCATACCATACCTTTTATGTCACTCACCTCCTGGGAGTGCCCCACAGCCCTACCGGCTCTGCTGCAGGAGGATTTCAGGGGCTTCCCCGCCCCGGGCCAACCGCTGTCCAGAGCGCAGGAGTGGACCCTGGCCTGTGTGCCTGCAGGTCCCAGCCTTAACCCCAGTACCCTCCCAGTTCCTGGTCCTCCCTGGGACACAGCTGCTTTGTGCCAGGCGAGCTGGGAGGGACCTTCTTGAAAGTTCCAGGAGCTTCCGCCCCTCCCTTCTCCCTTCTCCCCTGAGCCCTCCTGGCCCTGCTCTGGCACCGTCTCCTCTGTCCCCCGCCCCCGCCCCGCCCCCCCCCACCCCCACTCAGCTGGCTGGTGGGTCAGCCTGCGGTTTTGCCTTCCAGCCAGCCCCTCTCGCCACAGCATCTCCGAGTGGAGAATGCAGAGTATTGCCCGGGACTCCGACGAGAGCTCAGACGATGAGTATTTCGACGCTCATGGTAGGTGGCTCTTCCCCAGGGGACAGGAGGGAGGAGCTGAGAGGGTCTGGGCAGAGGGGGAGATGAAGTCGCCAGGAGGCGGGGCCACTGCCAGGGTGTAGGATGGACCGACACGCAGACGGGGCTTTGTGCCACCTGTGAGTTTCTTTCCAGAAGAATCTTTACAGAAGCATGGCCTCTTACAATTTCCTAAATCTCTGTAACGACCTTGTTTTCTTCTTGGTTAAATGGACGTCCAGCTCCCGTAGAAACCTTAGCAAATGCAAACCAGCAGGAAATAGGCAAAATGCCCATTTTCCCCACCAATCCCCAAATAAACATGGTGACCATACAGCCTCCTGAATCACCCACCTTTTCTGGGGAGATGAGGGTACCGTTGGCCCTCGAACAACACGGGTTTGCACACGGCACAGGTCCACGTCCACGTGGATTTTTTTGGATAAGTACCATACCGTAAATGTATTTTCCTTTCTTTATGATTTTCTGAATGACATTGTGTTTTCTCTAGCTTGTTTTGTTGTAAGAATACAGTATATCATATACATGACATACAAAATCTGTGTTAATTGACTCTTTATGTTATCGGTTCTGCTTCTGGTCAACATAGGCTATAAATAGTTAAGTTTCTGGGGAATCAAGTTTGATGTGGATTTTTGACTGGGGGCGGGGGCCGGGGGAAAGGGGCTAGCGCCCCAGCCCCTGTGTTGGTCAAGGGTCAACTTCACTAAAACACTCACGTGCTTCCCACCTTGGCCCTTCCTCTCCACGGCAGACCGGCCCGTGGAGACAGGTTTCCAGCTTGTCGTTTACAAAGCAGGACACAGGCTTGGAGGGGACAGGGACTTGTCCACAGACACTAAGCAGGACCGAGGCAGGCTGCAGGGCTGGGGGAGGGAGCCGGTGCCCCCCCGGGACCGCCGCCTCCCGCCCAGCGGCACCCCAGGCTGCAGTCCTCAGAGAAGCAGAAACGAGGCTGTGTGTGTAGATGTTGAAACAGGAATGTTAGCTGATGAGCGGCGAGACAAAACGCGTCCGTCCTTACGGGGAAATAGGGTTCAGCCGTAGAATGGACGGAGCCACAGACCCCTGCCAGCCCTGGTAATATGGCAGTAGAGCGCGCGGTGAAAGAAGCCAGACACAAGACCCCACGTTGTATGATTCCCTTCTGTGGAATGTCCAGGACCGGCCCATCCATAGAGACCGGACGTGGCTCCGTGGCCACCAGGGGCTGGGGAGGGGGACAGGGAGCGACTGCTGGCAGGTACAAGGTTTCCACCTGGGGAGATGGAGATGCTCCGGAACCAGGCAGAGTGGTGGTTGTACAGCACTGGGAACGAACGGAAGGCCGCCGTCAAGTGGCTTAAGTGGTGAATTTTATGTTATGGGAACATTATCGCAGCTTTTAGAAAAGGTCAGGCCGAAGCCCCACGGGTGTTGGTCAAGTGTTCGTCCTGCTAAGGAAGGGGGGCTGGAAGCGAGGCCGAAGCCCCACGGGTGTTGGTCAAGTGTTCGTCCTGCTAAGGAAGGGGGGCTGGAAGCGAGCTCGGAGGCAACCACAGGCCAGAGAGCCGCGGGAACGCCCAGAGTGGCCCCACGAGGGCCCACACCTCCCAGCCAGGCCTCCCCACGCCTCTCGGGCCCTGCCCTCCGGTGGGTGCCAAGGCCCTGCTCTCTCCTCCCCAGAGGACCTGTCCGACTCAGAGGAAATATTCCCCAAGGACATCACCAAGTGGAACTCCAACGACCTCATGGACAAGATCGAAAGCCCTGAGCCGGAGGATTCACAGGGTACCTGAGCTGGGGGCGGTGGGGTGCTTCAGGATCTGGGGAGGGGGCTGCAGGGGCCAGGCCCCTCCTCTCCGACCCAGCTGCTATGCGGTGCTGGGCATCCGAGGGTCCCGCGTGTCAGGGTCACTGCGTCGGTCCCGTGGGCCCGGGGCTGCCCCTCGGCTCACGGCTCCCCCCACTTCCGTGTTGCAGATGGTCTCTACCGCCAGAGCGCCCCTGAATTCAGGGTGGCCTCCAGCGTGGAGCAGCTGAACATCATCGAGGTGGGTGCCTGGGGCTGGGGCAGAGGGCTGGGGGCTGTGCTGCCCACGGCCCCGCCAGGCTGCAGGGGGAGGGGGCTGAGCTCAAAGGACGGGTCCCGTGGGGTGCAGAGGCAGACCTCGGCGCCCACCACCTCACGTCCTCGTTGGCCTAGGCGCCATCACAGAGAGGCCTGGGGGCTCCTTTACTCCCCGCCCTGAGAACCAAGAAGGACTGCAGACAGCCCCCAAAGAAGGCCTTGACCCAGCTCCACCCATGGAAAGTGAAAGGAGAAACTTGCAAATTCCAGACCAAAAAAAAGATGTTCACCTTGTACCCAGCCTTTCCGCATTTGCTGAAGAAAATAAGGTGGAAGGGGGGGATGCAAAAGCCGTCTAGGCAGAAGTGAGTGGCAGCCGCCCCACTGGGGCCTCGTGGGGGCCTCAGTGTCCAATAAAGCTATCTTGGCAGAGCGCCTGTGTCCGCTTCGGGGGTTCTTTGCACAGGGCTCAGGCCCCTTCTCCTCCTCCAGCTGTGGGCGGTCAGAGCTGTTTGCACTGGGGCTGGAGCCAGGGCCCGGCGGGGCTGTCCATACTGTGGTCACCTCACGGCTCTCGCCCCATGCTGCCCAAGGTGGAGACAGCACCTCCAGGAACTTGGAACCCCCTGGGGAGCTCAGACCAGCTGCCAGGAAGGAGAAGTAGCGTCCACACCGCCCTCCCCGACTTGGGGTTTTCTACTCTGGGGTCCGGGGTCAACGTGGGCTTTTCTAGAAGGCAAAGTGGGAAGAGGGGAGTTGATTTCCAATGGCTGGTTAACGGCAAAATAAACATATGGAGCCCCCTCCCCACCTAGGGCGCACACAGCTCTGACGGCCCTCAGGAGGGGCAGAAGGGGCCTTGGGCTCTAGGTCTGGCTCGGGACGTGCGTGGGAACCCAGCACCGGTTCTGGGCACGGCCATCTAGAGTCAGATCCCTTTGCTTGCAATAGCCCCCGAACCGGAGCCTCCCCTACCCAGCCTTGGAGCGGAGGTACGGCTTTATGGAGACACTGACGGGGACCCCGTGGCTCCCAGGCCCACTGCTGCATTGTACCTCCCCCAGGGTCTGTTCCTACAGGGTTTGAGTTGAGTCTTGGGTGGGGTGTGCCCTGGAGTTAGGCACGTATGGGAGTAGAGCCGTGTCTCTAATTGGCCTCCGGGAGTCCCCGAACAGTCCCAGCCTCCAGTGCTGGGTCACAGGAGACAGGCACAGGCCTTTCACTGCCCACCCTTGCCCGTCCCGGGTTTCTGAAGACCGCTGGACTCCACCTCCCTAAGTGGGTGATGGTGAATCTGCCCTGAGACATTCCTTCCTTGAGCCCCTGGCCTGGCCTTTTGATAAGCCCTTGACGCAATGTGGCGGCCCCTCCCGGCTGCTGGTCCGGGGAGCTGGGAGCCCCACCCTGCCCTGCCCGGGCTGTGAATTCATTCCTGCCCAGGCCGGCCAGCGGTGGTCAGCCCTCATGTGCAGACAGGAATCATTCCCAGGCTCTGCCAGGTCTGTGATCCTGCCCAGATTCCCGTTGCCCACAACTGGCCAATGACCGGCCTCATCCCAATCTTGCCTTGGCTCCAGACCCTGTACTGCCCACCAGCCTGCCTTCCTCGTTCGCTGCTCCGTGGCTCCTGGACCAGCCCCGTTCCCTTGTGTTTCCTGGCAGCCTCACCAGCCCCTGGGTCCAGACCGCGTTCTGCCCACTCCCCACCTAGGCTCCGTGTTGGCACTTGGGTCTCATTGCTGCCCCCGCCTACACGCCATCCTATGGCCCAGTTCAGGGCCATTTGTCCCCACATGGACCTTCCAGATGGTTTTTGTCCCCTCCTTGTCCCCCACACACCTGGACATAATATGGACATGGCACATCTCCAGTGGCCTCTCCTGGGCCCTGGTCCTAGCTCCCGCAGTCACACACCAGAAGTTAAGGTGGAGAAAGGCCCCTGGGGATGCAGCCACAGCCGGGGTTGGCAGGATAACACTGAATTGGTGGCAGAAACTCTGGGTTCCGGGGCAGCTTGGCACTGATATGCTGTGTGACATTGGACAAGTCTCTCAGTCTCTCTGGGCCACACCCACCTCAGCTGTAGATAGAATAGTTCCAACCCCGTGCAAATGTGTACAAGTCTCAGGTCTCACTGTGACCTCACGTGCAGGCCTGACCAGCAGGAGGTGGGGTCCTTAACCCCTCCTCAATTAGGGGGGTTCAGACAGGTGCACCTATGTCCCCTCCCTGCTCTAAGATGCTTGGAGACCTTAGTCTTAGAGTCCGGGAATGGCAGCACAGGGAACAGAAGGGAAGCCCGGTATAGATGGGAGTGAGCTCAGAGCTGCAGGCCCTGTGCCCTGCATCACGGCCCGCCCAGGCTGAGGCTGCCCTGGGGCGCAGACACATGGAGGGCAGGCAGGCTCCAGAGCCCCACATAGAGCACCCCTGAATTCAGGGTGGCCTCCGGTGGGAAGCTGAACATCACCCAAGGTGGGTGCGCAGGCGGGCAGAGGGCCCCTCGCCAGGGCTGGAAACTGCCACCTGGGCCCCTGATGGAAAGTGGAAACCGAGTGGGGGGAGCAGAGCTGCTCATGGAGAGGGAGAGGAACCATCTTGGCCTCCCCAGGGGAAGGGGTTGAGGCTGCCCACACCAGGCCCTGTAGCTGAGGAACTGAACTGGGACTTCAGAGAGGGAGCATTGGGCCAGATCGCCCCCTGCCCCGGGGTGACACGGGCCCAGCAAGGAGCTGAGTCCCCGGGGAGTTGACACCCCGCCAACCCGTGCAGGACGAGGTCAGCCCACCCCTGGCTGCGCCGGCCTCCAAGATCCACGTGCTGCTGCTGGTGCTGCACGGAGGCACTATCCTGGACACGGGCGCTGGGGACCCCAGCTCCAAGCAGGGCGACGCCAACACCATCGCCACCGTGTTTGACACGGTCATGCGTGTGCACTACCCTAGTGCCCTGGGCCACCTTGCCATCCGCCTGGTGCCCTGCCCGCCCATCTGCTCAGATGCCTTTGCCCTCGTCTCCAAGTGAGTGCCTGGGACCCAGACCACCCATCCCAAAGCACCTGGCCCCTAGGGTCAGGCTGCTCCCCCAGCCTCAGGACCCCCATCCAGATGTCCACACTTACCATCCAGCCCATTCTGTCCAGAGGCAACAAAACCTATGCAGATGGTTGGGCTTACAGAGGAGGGGCCCCAGGCCCAAGGCTGAGCCTCAGTTTCCCTATCTGAGGTGTGGGGCTGTTGACCTGCCCCTGAGATGCAAGGCTTTACTCCCCAGCTCTGTTACCCAGCCTTCCAGGGCCTGGCCCAGAAGCGACCCCATGAGGTTGGCCCCGTCACAGCTGAGGCTCTCCAGTGGCAGGCCTGCTGCCCTGTCAGGGAGGGGCCCCTGGGGCTAAGCTGAGCCACCTGCTCTCTCCTGACCGGGCCCCCTCCCCCAGCCTTAGCCCCTACAGCCACGATGAAGGCTGTCTGTCCAGTAGCCAGGACCACATCCCCCTGGCTGCCCTGCCCCTGCTGGCCACCTCCTCACCCCAGTACCAGGACGCGATCGCCGCAGTGATCCAGCGGGCCAACCTTGCCTATGGGGACTTCATCAAGTCCCAGGAGGGCATGACCTTCAACGGGCAGGTGAGTGGTGGGGCAGGAGAAGGGCAGACAAGCCCCACGGGGTGGGGGGATGCCCTCCCCAGATGGGCCCAGCAAGTGGGGCAGGTGCGCAGCCTCCAGAGCCTCTCCACCTCCAGGTCTGCTTGATTGGGGACTGCGTCGGGGGCATCTTGGCGTTCGATGCCTTGTGCCAGGGCAACCAGCCGGTGTCCGAGAGTCAGAGCAGCAGCCGCAGGGGCAGCGTGGCCAGCGTGCAGGTACCACGCCCCTTGCCCCAGAGTGGGGGCATCTTCAGCACCAACCTGCTAGCCCCACACCTCCCCCAGGCAAGGGAAGGGAAGGGTGGAGGTTGTCAGCGCAGGTACCCAGAGCCGTCGGGGTGGGTGCGCGGGGCCGGTGAGCTGCTACGGTGGGACCGAGCCTGGAGCCCATGAGGCTTCAGTGGGCGATGGAGCAGGGTCTGCACCGTAGGGAGCAGAGCCCTAGGAGGTGCAGCGGGCAGCCCCTCTGAGCGTCCCAGCAGGAGGGGATCTGAGATCCCTCTGCCTCCGAGCAGCACATGGCCTGGGGTCGGGGGGCTGTGTGAGGCTGCGAGGTCGCTGAGAGGTCCCAAAGGCCCAGGCGGCCAGTTCAGGCAGGAATGGAAGCTGTTGGGACTCAGCCAGCGGGCTAGGGGGACAGGGCTTCCCCTCCCTGGCGTGGGTGAGAGGCCAGCTGGGCAGGGGGGCAGTGGCCCTGGAGTCGGGAGGGAGAAGACTGAAGCCAGGCCCAGGTTGGTGGCCGCCGGGCAGTGAACCCGCATGGGTCTGTTCCAGGACGCTGACCTGCTGTCCCCCGGCACCATGGTCAATGTGGCCCAGGGCGGCAGCGGCGGCCTGGAGAGCAGTCGGCACCTGAGCCGCAGCAACGTCGATCTCCCCCGAAGCAATGGTGTCGAAGACCCCAAGAGGCAGCTGCCCCGAAAGAGGAGCGACTCGTCCACCTACGAGCTGGACACCATCCAGCAGCACCAGGCCTTCCTGTCCAGGTGCTTGGGGCAAGCGGGGCCCCCAGGCCCGACCCTGAGGCCGTGGCCAGGGAAGGGGGGACCCCAAGAGAGAGGGATGCCTCAGAATTGGGGACATAAACCTCGAGGGCTGACGTGAGGGTAGTGGGATGCCCAGGCACTCAGCCTCGGGTGGCCTGTTGGGTGCTGCTGGGGTCTTGTACACACCAAGGGCCATCTTGAGCCCAAGGGAATAGCTTGTCCAGGGTGGGGCAGAGTTGGGGGGCAGAGCCCATCAGGGACATCTATTCTAAAGGCAGTGGCACCCAAGAAAGGTTGGGACCGGCTGTCACCAGAGGTGTCCCAGCAGGTACTGGGCAGCCACATCTGCAGGACAGCTCAGAGGCTGAGCCTCATGTGGGCCTGATGACCCCCAGGGAGCGCTTCCATTGGGAGGCTGAGGGCAAGCCAGTGCTGAGAAGGGGTATAGTGTGACCTCACGAGGCCCCCATCCGCAGCCTCCATGCCAGTGTGCTGAGGAACGAGCCCAGCTCCCGCCGTTCGAGCAGCTCCACCATGCTGGACGGCACAGGGGCTGTGGGGAAGTTCGACTTTGAGATTGCAGATCTTTTCCTCTTCGGGTGCCCGCTGGGGCTCGTCCTGGCCTTGAGGAAGACCGTCATCCCTGCCCTGGATGGTGAGAGCTCTGAAGGGGCAGGACAAGGCAGGGGGGTATATGAACCGGGTAGAGGGTCTCAATGGACCCTTACCACAAGGCCATGGCCACATCCCAGGCCCCTTCCTGCATCAGCCTCACTTCTGCCCTCCCCAGCACGGGCCTGCTGCTCTCCTTTGCTCCTATTCCCGCAGCTCAGACTGTGGCCCCGATCTCTGGGCTCCTGTTCTTCCGTTTCATCTTCCAAGCACCTCTGGGCACTGAGGTCCAGAAGGGAAGGGCTGCTCGGGTATCAGACGGACATAGACCCAGTCTCCCGGGCCCAAAGTCTTCCCATAAGGAAGAGATGGGAAGCCGGACTCCCCCAAATCCTCCCCAGGTGCCTGGCTTCCCAGTCCCAGAAGGGCTGTGGTCACGCTGCCCTGAGACCCTCATCAAGGCCACAGGGACGGGGGTGTGACATGCCTCTGAGCAGCCTGTCAGAGCAGCATTCCCTGCAAGGTGTCCCCCCGGCTCAGCCAGTGTGGCCCATGGAGCCCCGGTGTCCTTACAGGGGCCGTGCAGGGCCCATGTTACATCCCCAGGTTACAGAGCGAGAAACCGAGGCTTAGAGAGGTGTGGACACTTACCCAAGAGCAAGTCAGAGGTGGCTTGTACAGAAGCAGAGACTTAGGGACAGTGCTGTCTGGCAACATCATCTGTAATCACAAGACACCAGAACCGCTGTCAACGGTCCGCAGGGAGCCGCTGGTTGGCTAAATCCCAGCCCGGCCCACCACGGAGGACACCCAGGGCCCAAGATGGGGGTCCGTGGAACTTGCAGGGCTGAAATGAAGGACGCCCACATTTTTGTGTTCTTGGGGGAGGAGGGGAGGTTCAGAAGCATGGCACCTGTTCCTATGTGTGTGTTTAAAGGTGAGACATCTACTACTGCTCCTTACGCTTAGGGTCCCCGTTCCCCCGGCAACCGTGACCCGCTAGGAGAGCAGCCCCATCGCACAGCCTACGGCCCCACCCTGCTTGGTTTAAAACAAATTTGGTTAATAAACAGACATATACCAAACCAGAGAGAGGAGCTTTCGGAGGCCCCCTCCCATAGACCCGGCCTCCTCAGGGCTCTGCCATCCCCCTCCCTGCCCCCCGCCCCCGCCCCCAGTCTTCCAGCTGCGGCCAGCCTGCCAGCAAGTCTACAACCTCTTCCACCCTGCCGACCCGTCTGCCTCCCGCCTGGAGCCTCTGCTGGAGCGGAGATTCCACGCCCTGCCCCCTTTCAGCATCCCTCGCTACCAGCGCTACCCGCTGGGGGACGGCTGCTCCACGCTGCTGGGTGAGAGGCCCTGGGGTGGGGCGCAGGGTGGGGGGGTGGCCCGGGGCCCCTGCTGGGCTGGAAGGGGCAGCCTGCACTGAGCTCCTCTGGGAAGCTGGGTGCCTGGTGTCTGTCCGAGATGCATCAGCCAAGGGGGTCAGGGCCTCACCCCCGGTGCGGGAGTGGGGGACAGACTGGGATGAGGATCCCCTCCCCGCTGTGAGGACCCATCATGACAGTGGGTGGCGACGGGGTTCAGAGCAGGGTACTTGTGTGAGGGCTGCTGCCCATCGCCCACTCTTGGCCCTTCCCGGGAAGCCCCCATCCACACCCCCTGTCCTCGAGTGTGTCCTGGAGTCCTGTCACGTCCTGGTCCTCAAGGAACCCCCCCGTGTCCATGTTGGAGGAGCGAGTCTGGACTGCCCATGCGAGTGTCTGTTCTTGTCCTCTGTTCTCTCCCATCTGCCTCCAGTCGAGACAGTGCAGAGAAACCCCGAGCTGGTCCTGGAGGGTGGGCCCCTGGCCCCTCTCCCCCCAGGGGACGGCTTCCTGGAAACCAGTATCCCCGTTCCCGCGCTCACCTGGCAAGACGGGCCCCGTCCGAGCCCGGGCTGTGCTGAGTGTGTGTAACACCCCCGTTCGTGGTGGCGTCTGCTTCGCTGGCTGACTGCTGGTCCTCAGGGACTTCCCGTGCCCTCCTTGGCCACTTGGAGTCTGTGGGACAGTGGTGTCCCATGGAGACCAGACAGGACAAGTCCTAGGGATCAGGCCTTCCACACCTCCTCTCTGTACACCGAGAGCCCGGGAGCTCAGAGGGCAGAGCGGCTGTCCTGGGGTCACCTAGCACGGGTGTGAGTCCAAAGGCTCCATCTCCCATTTGTGAGGCTGGAGGGGACAGCTAGGAGAAGGGGTGAGGCCTCAACCCTCATCCCACCTGCTCTGCTAGAGAAGCTTCCGGTCCCGGTGAGGGGTCGATCCAGAGTCCCACTCCTTCCCTGCCTGTGGGGGTCCAGGCCCCTCATGTACCCACCTACACGGGGTCCTCGAGCCGAGCCCCCACTCTCCCTGCTCTGCCCTGGCCCAGTCACACCCTTGGCACCCACTTTGTCCCCAGACACCCATTCAAGGCTGGTTCAGTATGGCCCGTGTGAGGGACAGGCAGGGAGGGGCTTGCCTTGCCCTTAGCGCCCAGCCCTGGGCATCCCCCAGAGACCGCTTCAGGCCCTCCTGTTAGCACCCCCAAACCCAGCTACAATGCCCTGCAGGTCAGGCCTGCTAGGCGGAGCCCAGGAGGCTGGGAGGGCTAGGGTATCAGGAGCTGTGCTGGGTCAGATGGGTGGCCAGGGGGGGCATGAGCCTGGCCGCCTTGCCTCCCTGCCTACTGTGTCTGTGTCGGTCTGTCTGTCCGTCCCTGCCCCAGCCCTCCCTTCTCTCCCACCTCAGCTCTGTGCCCTGCCCTCTCGGCCCTGAGCAGGCAGGCCCCGGGCATGCTTGGTCCCCCCCTCACTGCCAGCTGTGCTCAGATGCCACCGCTCGCCTGCAGGTGGAGGGGTCGGCCACGGCTCCAGCCCACCCTGCCCGGGGCATGCTGGGCCCTACCTCCTGCTGCTCAGGGGGCCGGTGGGGAGCTGGGCTGGGGGCCCTCTCTTACCCACTGGTCTCCGGCTCCTGTCTACCTGCAGCAGACGCACTCCAGACCCACAACACAGTCTTTCAAGAGCACGCGGCCCCCTCCTCACCAGGCGCAGCGCCCGCCACCCGAGGCTTGCGCCGAGCCAGTGAGATCAGCATCGCCAGCCAGGTGTCGGGCATGGCCGAGAGCTACACAGCGTCCAGCATTGCCCAGAGTGAGTGCTGCGGTGGCCTGCCCTCCCTGCACCCTCTCGTCTGTCTTAGCAGGGGGTCTGCACTATGCACTACCCTCTCCGCCCCCCACCAGCCCCGCCAGCCCCGGGGTGGTTGGCGGTGTCTGGAGACAGCTGGGGAAGGCATTACTGGCAAGCGGTGGCTAGTGACCGGGGTCTGCTCGACACCCACAACGGCCCCAAATGTCCAGAGAGGACCCTGGAGGGAGGGAGTGTTCGAAGGGGTGGCCCAGCAGGGCCAAGTCCAGGCAGGAGGCGATGGGCGTGGGAAGAGGCGTCCTAGCCCCGGCGCAGGGGTTTGAGGGAGTGGGGACGTTCTCCCTGAGGAGGAAGCTGTGGGCTGTTTCTGGACAAGCAGCCCGACCCCGACGAGCCAGAGAGCAGCTGAGGGGAGCCAGGGAGGCAAGACCTCAGCGTGGCCTCCTTCGCTGCTTGGCTTCTCCGAAGCTTCTCAGCAGCTGCAAGTGGAGCCCGGGTCAGCCCCTTGCCAGGGCCCAGGGCCAGCTGCCCCCTCCGTCCTCCCAGACCGCGTGATCGGGCTGCACCTGGGTTGAGGCCGGCATGAGTATCCTTCTGTGGGAAGGGCGCTGGCCCTCTTCCCAGCGCCCTTCCTGGCCTGTGGTGGCACCCCGGTGGTCCCAGCGCGGCTGACCCCGTCCCGTCGTTTCGCTTCTCAGAGGCCCCGGTGTCGCTCAGCCACACCCCCAGTGTCCGGCGCCTATCGCAGCTCGCCCTGCCCCACCCACCCCCCACTACCCCGGGGTCCCCCCTACAGGCCGGGCAGGCGAGCCCCAGCCTGGAGCGGGCGCCCCGCCTCCCTGACTTGGACACCAGAGAAGGTACCGGGCGTCACACGGCCTCTGTCCACACGCGCTGTCCTCCCCTAACGAGGGTCCCTCACCGTTTCCAGGCACATCTCACCATCAGGCCCTGCCCGCTGAAGCCTAACCAGGGAGCTAGACGCTCGGGCTGGGAGGGTGCAGACCCGGGGAGGCGGCGGACGGGGCGGAGTCGGCTGGAGGCTGAGGACCACGGGATTGTGCAAGCATGCCTCGGCCAGAAGCCGGGAGAGCCCCGGCCCACCAGACAGCAGTGACGGAGCAGCCCGCGCGCAGCCGTCAGAAATGCACTTTTTTTTTTAAGATTATTTATTTATTTATTTGACAGAGAGAGAGAGATCACAGGTGGGCAGAGAGGCGGGCAGAGAGAGGGGGGAAGCAGACTCCCCGCAGAGCAGAGAGCCTAATGCGGGGCTCGATCCCAGGACCCTGGATCATGATCTGAGCCGAAGGCAGATGCTTAACCCACTGAGCCACCCAGGCGCCCCAGAAAGGCACTTTTGAACCCTTACCTGGAGCTAGGGTGTTTTCCCAGCCCCGAGTGGGAGCCTGGATTTGCACCCAAGCCTTGACACTTGGCCTGCAGGTGCTGAGGGGACATCAGGCCTTGCCTTGGGTTCACCCCTACATAACCTGTCACCGGCCTGAGGCCTGCAGGGCAGATGGGGGGCAGGAGAGGCCTGGCGAGGACGCGACGGGGCTCAGGGCAGGGGATCAGGATCTGCCACAGGACCAGGAAGAAGCCTGCCTTCCAACGGGGATTGTGCCCTCTCCCTAACTCCACACCCTCCTTCCTCACGGCCTGCGCGCTGCTCTCCACGGAGCCTCCCGCACCCTCATCCCCAGGCCTGCTGGCTGCTTGCTCGCTCCTCTGGGGTCCTGGGCCTTCCCTGCTCCCTCCTGTCACCCGGCCAGGGAGGAGGCCTGCTTTGGCTGCAGCCCCCGTCCCCTGGTCAGAAGAGGGTCTAGCCTCTGGGCTGAGCCGAGCCTGAGGGGCCTGGTGCCCTCCGAGGGGCAGCTGGTCAAGGCCCCCCCACCCCCGGCAGTTGCAGCAAAGTGGTGGGGCCAGAAGCGGATTGACTACGCCCTGTACTGCCCCGACGCGCTGACAGCCTTCCCCACGGTGGCTCTGCCGCACCTCTTCCATGCCAGCTACTGGGAGTCAACGGACGTGGTCTCCTTCCTGCTGAGACAGGTACCCAGGGGCCCACCGCCCGCTGCCCCCAGGCCCCACACAGGGACCAAGTGATGACACGGCTGACAGGGCCCCTTTCGTAGACGAGGAGGGCAGTGGGAGCTCCCAGGGCGAGCAGCACGGAGGAGCCCTGGCGGCTGGGGCTGAACGCGCACATACAGGACATGTGACTTTGGGGGGGACCAGCGGGGGACCACAGTGGGTTGAAGAGTGTCCCCCGACCCCTCACAGGCTCCCGTTTCCGGCTCCGAGGGCCGCTGGCTTCCCCTTCCTAGAAAAGGCAGCCCCAGGCCTGAGGCGGCCCGTGGCCTGCTTCTTGCCCTCGCAGGTCATGCGGCACGACAATTCGAGCATCTTGGAGCTGGACGGCAAGGAGGTTTCGGTGTTCACCCCGTCGAAGCCAAGAGAGAAGTGGCAGCGCAAGAGGACCCATGTGAAACTGCGGGTGAGGGGCCGCACAGCCACTGTCCTGCTGAGCCCTCACGAGACACCCTGCCACAGTCGAGGAGACCGAGTCACAGAGTCACGTGCTGTCTTACCTAATCCTCGGGCTGTGGGGTTGGAGCTAGTTCCCCTTCTCTAGACTGCGAGGGGCACCAAGGCCGGGTAGGTCTGAGCCGAACTTGAGCCTAGGCCTTCCGACCTCAAGCCTGTGCTCACCCTCCAGGCCCAGGAGATCCTAGCCATCCTTCCCTCCCCTCCCCTGACCCGCCTCCCTCCTCCTGTCCCCAGAACGTGACCGCCAACCACCGGATCAATGACGCAGTCGCCAACGAGGATGGCCCGCAGGTTCTCACGGGCCGGTTCATGTACGGGCCCCTGGACATGGTCACTCTGACGGGGGAGAAGGTGAGGACCTGGGGAGGTCGCAGAAGCCCCTGCCCGGCCTCCCACTGGCTGGGGAGTGCAGGCTCGGGAGGCCAGGGGCCCGCCGCTTCCTGACCAGCCCGCCTGGCTCCCAGGTGGACGTGCACATCATGACGCAGCCGCCCTCGGGCGAGTGGCTGTACCTGGACACTCTGGTGACCAACAGCAGCGGGCGGGTGTCCTACACCATTCCCGAGTCCCACCGCCTGGGAGTGGGCGTCTACCCCATCAAGATGGTGGTCAGGTGAGCGCCTCCGGGGAGGGAGCGGGCCAGGCCGGCCACCTCTGGGGGCGGGGGGGAGGAGGTCTGGTGGGTTCTAACGCGCTCCCCTTCCCAGGGGAGACCACACGTTTGCGGACAGCTACATCACCGTGCTGCCCAAGGGCACGGAGTTCGTGGTCTTCAGTATCGACGGCTCCTTTGCTGCCAGTGTGTCCATCATGGGCAGCGACCCCAAAGTGCGGGCCGGGGCCGTGGACGTGGTGCGGTGAGTGACCCCGAAGGGCACGCTGGGCGGGCATGGGGGCGGGAAGCTCCTGGAGGCCAAGCTGGGGACGGCTTTGGGACACTAGGCAGAGGCCCATGGAGTCAGCACTGCCACTAACTCACGGTATGACCCCTTGATGCGGATGCCCCAGCTCCTCACCCAAGCGGTGAGGCTCGTGAGGAGGCCGGTTACAGCTGCTGCAGAGGGCACCCACGGGGACCGGGCGGCCTGGCTGGCTCTCCTCGCAGTGGCTGCTGCTTCTGCTGAGCCCAATCAGAGACGCGCTCTCCGACGGCCCAAGTAGAACGTGGCGGGGCTGGACGACGGGTGGCCCAGGAGAGAGGCCGGGGCGGCAGCGGGACACCCAGGCCTCCCCCCTCACCCCCAGGCACTGGCAGGACCTGGGCTACCTCATCATCTATGTGACGGGCCGGCCTGACATGCAGAAGCAGCGGGTGGTGGCGTGGCTGGCCCAACACAACTTCCCCCATGGCGTGGTGTCCTTCTGCGACGGTCTGGTGCACGACCCGCTGCGGCACAAGGCCAACTTCCTGAAGCTGCTTATCTCCGAGGTGGGTCCCCGACGGGAGGGGGCAGGGGTGCGGAGGGGGTGGGGGTGCGGCGGGGGTGGGAGGGCCGTGCCCGTGCCCACGCCAGTCTCCCCCACAGCTGCACCTGCGCGTGCACGCGGCCTACGGCTCCACCAAGGACGTGGCGGTCTACAGCTCCATCAGCCTGTCCCCCATGCAGATCTACATCGTGGGCCGGCCCACCAAGAAGCTGCAGCAGCAGTGCCAGGTGAGCGGGCCGGGCGGGCCGGGCGGGCCGGGCAGGTGGCCCTGACCCGGCCGTGACCGCCCCCTCCCTCCCTGCCTTGCCCCGCAGTTCATCACGGATGGCTACGCGGCTCACCTGGCCCAGCTCAAGTACAACCACCGGGCGCGGCCGGCCCGCAACGCCGCCACCCGCATGGCGCTGCGGAAGGGCAGCTTCGGCCTGCCGGGCCAGGGCGACTTCCTGCGCTCCCGGAACCACCTGCTCCGCACCATCTCGGCCCAGCCCAGCGGGCCCGGCCACCGGCACGATCGGACGCAGAGCCAGGCGGACGGCGAGCAGCGGGGCCAGCGCAGCATGAGCGTGGCGGCAGGCTGCTGGGGCCGCACCATGGCCGGCCGGCCGGAGCCCGGGGCTGCCGCGGGCCCCAAGTAGGACCCCGTGGGTGAGGCGCTGTGGTCTCCATGGTGCTAGGCCAGGGCGGCCAGCCCCGCCAGGAGGCCTGATGGGCACACAGTGTCGGCTGGAGACAAGCTTGTCCCAGGGCCTGGCGGAGGACGTAGGCCGTGCCACACAGCCCTCCCAGCCCTGCCTCGTCCTAGGGTCTGAGGAGTTCCAGCTTGCAGGAAGACCTGTCCCAGGATGACAGAGGGACCAGGACTCCCCACGTGGACTGGCCCGGAAAACACGCCTAGACACTCATCCTGCATTGACCTCCCAGCATCCCGACGCCAGGCCTGAGCCCGGGCCCAGCCCGCCACCTCCCATCCACTAGCTCACCCTGACACCCAGGTCCCCTCCCACTCGGTCACAGCTCCAGCGGGGGACAGCCTGCTTCTTGTTAACTCGAGTTACTCAACTGTTCAACCTCACTGGTTTTGCACTGATTTTTGAGAGTGGAGACCCGTTCCCATCTCCTGTGGCTACAGACATGCATGAAAAGCCGACCTTCGCCCGTCTGGGACCTGCTGCCAGGGAGGCAAACGCTTGCGCAAGAGGAGAGAAAGGCCGCGTCTTCACTTCTGCAGCTCCGCCTGGCCCGCCAGCGCTGTGGCAGCCCCCGACCCCCGCTGCCCGTCCACCTGCCCCACCTGGAACCCAGTGCGGCTGCGAGGCTGCTGAGGCCCAGAGCCGGCTCCCCGGAAGCCACGCCTTGGGCTCCTGGGCCCGGCCGGACCAGCCTCCTCTTCCACACCTCGCCTGCCGCCGGTCAAGGCCACGGCCTTGCTCTCCTGCGTTTCTACACCTTTCTACTTCTCCAATCTGATTTCTATGAGGTTTTTTTAAACGAGCAATCCTTGGCTGCTTCCTTTTCTTAACTCTTTCAGTACCAAACGCAGCCCCTCCACCTGAGAACACCCAGCACTGTGACGGAGTCCAGCCTGGTTCTGGGTCCCGGGGCCCTGGCCCCCTGCCCACGCAGCAGGGCATGGGGTCCCCGCCTCACCCAACCCCCATTAATTCCACTGAATTTCTACTCTGGGGTGAGTGGGGCAACACTTAGGTTTTTTTAATGCCAATTCCGTTTTGACGCCGAATTTCAGAAGCCACAACTTGCTTCATTAGCTTAAGGGCAGGCAGCCACGACGCCATCCCCACCTGGTAAGGACCGCGCTGTCCTGCAGGCCCGGCCGAGCATCAGCCCTTCCTCCCCAGAAGCGACCGCGATCTCCGCCGTGGCGCTCGGCCCCGGGCAGCCCTTCTGCGGCTCCTCCACCTTCTCTGTAAGGCGCGGGGGGCCTGGCCAGGCCCCGACTGAGAAGCTGCTGCCAACCTGGACACGGCCTCGGCCTCACGGGCTGGGGCGGGGAGGCCCACGGATGGATGTTGACATTCTCCCGTGTGTAGATATGTACAGCCAAAGGGTCATGTAGATGTTCCGCGAAAGTGGGTCTACACAGAGTGAAAGCTATTTATTTTGTGCCGAGAGAAACTTCCGGAGGGTTAGGACCTTCAGGGTTTGTTCATATTTAAGATGTAGCTTTTTGTTTTTGTTCCAGGCGTTATGTATAAAGCGACGGTTATTTTATGGACCAAGTTTTAATGTAAGTGTTGCCATGGAAGTACAATACCCGACCCCCGTGCCCCCGGCGGGAAACCGCTCGGCCCGACAATCACAGCCCGGCGAGGGGCCCCTGCGGCCAGTGCCTCCTCCTCTGTCGGTCCCACCTCGCCCCATCTTGCCTACCGCCTCGGGGACCAGCCATCCGGAGAAGCACCTGGAAGAGTCTCGGGCCCGCCTGCAATAAAGGCTGGGAGGCCTCCTGGCCCGGGGAGGCCGCGAGGGCAGTGGGCTCGGCCTCTCCCAGCCGGCAGCTGCCTCAAGCTCCGCGCTCTCCGCCCGCCTGCCCAGCTGCCCGCCATGCCAAGGACAACAGCAATAGTCCCCTGGGCCTCTCCCAGCGGCTCTCAGCCATAGATGGTGAGATGGGCAGCCCACCCTCCCCACTGACGTCTCTCTTCTATATCCAGGTCTGCTTCCTGCCTCCCTTAAGATTCCTTTTGGCACATTCTCTTCTTAGGGAAGCACCAGTTTTTCAGAAACTAAGAGAGGGAGGGCAGAGTCCCTTAAAAATACCAAAAATGTTTACAGTGTTGGGTGCTGAGCTGCAGGGCTCAGGCCTGACCAGTCGTAACCAAAGGGTGAGGCAGGCCTTGCTGACTGCCACCCCCACCCCAGGCCTGTTGGAGGAGAAGCCTTAGTCCCACTCCCAACCCCAGCCCCAGGACTGAGCCTCAGCCCACCACCCCACATCCAAGCACCTGCCTTCTCTTTGATTTCTAAAGACGGATTCAGCAGAGACCCCACGCCCAAGGTTCCCAGCTCCGTCTGAGCTGCCCGCCCGCCCGCCCCGTCGCCGTCGTCTCGTTTCGGCCCCTCCCGTCTCTGTCTGGGCCATGTGTGAGCAGCGTCCTGACTCGCCCCATCCGCCCTTGCTACCCCCGCACCTTCGGGCCTCAGTGTGCTCTGTATAGTGTCATTGTCTATTACACCGATTAAAGAAGCAGGAAGGCTTCCTTCTGGGTCTCTTTACTGCACCAGCAAACACAGAACACCGGCTGGGGATGAGGGTCCAAGACGGGGGCACAGCCTGTGCTGGAGCTAAAGCTGCAGCAGCGAGAGTACATCTTTCCCAGTAAACAACACCCACTACACTTGCCTTCATACAGACAGGCTCACACAAGCCTTCCCCTGCCCTGGGCCTCCTTCCAGCCCCTTCCTAGACACAAACTCCCGTTCATCCTCACAGCAACCCAGTGAGGTGGGTGCGGAAAGCCTCTCTGCTTCACAGAGGCCGCAGCTTGTCACCTGGGCCAGGAGCCTCGCCCCGGCCGCCCGGCCCCAGCACCAGCACCCTGAACAGGCGGCATCTGCAAGATAAAGGGCACAGGACGCAGTGTGCCCCCCAGTCAGGGCATCGGGCTCAAGAGCCAAGTCTGGGTTTAGGATGCAGCTGGGGTGAGTGCAGCGTCTGGTCGAGGCAGGCTGATCCGGGGACGAGCAGGGCAAAGGTGGTCGGCGCAAGGGCACATCCCACCTTTTCCCAAAAACCCCTGGAGCCCTTGTTTTACTTCTGGAGGCTGGGTGGCAACCTTCCCTCCCTTCAGCACAAAAACCAACATTAACAAAGTTTCCAACCAGGGAACATTTAATATTTGGGAAGTTATGCTCTTTCAGGAGATGGGAAAACTGATTAGGCCAGTGACCCTGTCCTCTATCCCCTGGATCTGAGAGGAGGCCGGGCCAGAGGCCAGTCCACAGGAGGAAAAACAAACACCCTGGTGCCCATTCTGAAGCCAGCCTCCAGGCCAGGCCACCAAAATGAGCCAGCAGGGCCCTCAGGGTAGCAGCCCAGCTCGCATCTGGAAGGCCAGGCCGTCCCCTCGGGTGGCTTGCTAGAGAAGGAAGCACACAGAAGGGGACACATCAGAAACAGAGCTGGGCGTGGACCCTGGGGAAAGGGGCGACACCAACCTTGTTGATCTCTCTGTGTCGTTCCTTCGTCACGATTTCCTCTAAGACCTCACCATCTCCCTTAATGAGCCTGGGGGAGGAGGGGAGAGGGGGCTGAGCCTCCAAGGCCAGAGCAACAGAACCAGACCTACCTGGCAAAGAGATGCCAGGCCTCAGGCCCCCACTCCCTTGAGCAGGGGGAACCTAGGTGCTCCCACTCCTGCCCCTCTCCCGCCCTTGGGACCGTGACAAAGGCAGCTGGGTAGGCTCTGCCATCAGACCGGCCAACTGGCTCTTTGAAGACACCGCTCAAGGCCCTTGCAACCCCCGCAACTGCTTGCTCTGGACGATAAAGAACAGCCTAGGGCGTCCCATAATGAGTAACTACTCTTCTCCGGTCTCTGGCTTTTGAGCACAGCAGCCATCGGCTCTCCTCCTGAGCGTGCAGAGCGTGTAGGGCTGAGCTGCGCCAAGACTCCCCACCTGGTGCGTCCTGTCTCCGGGTCCACCACCTTCCGGATGATGCTCTGCCGGGCATCCCACTCCTCCTTGGTCATGGGCTTCATGGCCTGGATGCGGGACTTCTGCTCATCCGTCAGGGCTGCAAGGGGAGACGGCAGGGAGTGGGCGGTTGGGTCTCAGGGAGGGGGCCCTTCCCCTCCTGCACGCCGGACAGCAGCGTACCTGGGCCATCCTCTTCCTCCTCAGCCGATCTGTGCCACTGGTCCAGCGAGGGTCCCGGCAGAGCCTCGCCCTGCTGCAGCTTTGCCTTCTCCTTGCTTTTCTTCTTCAGCTTCTTCTTCCTTTTCTTCTTCTTCTTCTTCCTCTTCTTGTCCTTGTGCTTCCCCCGCTTCTTCCGGCCATCATTGGAGGAAGAGGAGGAGGACGAAGAGGAAGAAGAGCTAGAAGAACTGGAAGAAGAGGAGGAGGAGCTGGACCGTGGTCTCCTCCGGGCCTTGTGCTTGCTTCTCTCTGTGATGCAGGGAGAAGGTGAGGCTGGAAGGCCAGGAGGGGAAGAAGTAAACCTTTATCCCCTTGCTCTGGCCTGTGGCAGGCTTAGAGGGACGACGGAGGGGTGAGACCCTCCAAGCAGGGCCTTCCAGAGCAGGGATCAGCACTCTCTGGAGAGGCGCCTTCTGGGCTTCACCCAGCCACCCAGTCACTGTCTGACCAGGAGCAGGGCAGCCAGCCCCCAGATCTCAGCTCCAGCTGCACAAAAAGCATCAGTACGTGCTCCCTTCAATCCATACCCAATGAGCCAGACCAGCCTCTGGAATCTGAGCGTCTTTCCCAGACATCCAGGTCCTGCGCTCTGCAAACCTCTACGGCTCACTGCGATGTCCCCACAGCCATCCCGAGAAGCCCGCCCAGCTGCCTGCAGCTTCCTCCCTAAAGTTCCCACACCCCTTTCCCGTTCCCTCCGGTCCTCACCCTCCGCCCCAGAGGAGGTGTTGCTGGCCTTGTGGTCTTGGGATCCAGAAGCCGAGCAGCTCCGAGCAGCGTCCTTACTGCTCTTCTTCCTTCTCTTTTCGGACCCGCGGCCCCGGGACCGGCTTCGGCTCTTGGAGCGCTTGCGAGAGCTGACGTGAGCCATAGCGCCGCGGGCTGGAGACGGGGAGACACGTTCGAACTGGGGCTCACACAGCCGGCCCCCAGACTGGGCTCGGAGGGCGGCTCTTCTCAGGGGCCCAGTGCCCATCACCACCCAGTGCAGGGACCGAGGGGGTCCGCGGCCACCGCACGATCCGCCCCCAGCCCCGGGGACCCCAGACCCTGCGCAGACACCCCGGGCCTCGGCCCCTTTAAGGGCCCGCCCCCGCCCGACCGCTCCACGCCTGCGCACGGCCGCCCCACGCCTGGACGCTCGGGCGCCCCTAGGAGCCGCCGCGGTCCTCAGCCGCCAGGTGCGTCCCGAATCCTTCCCTGCGCTCCTACCCTCCACCCCCGCGCCCTCCGCGGCCTCGCCGCCCTAGGGAAGGTCCCCGCAGCCGCTCTGTCCCCTTCTCAACCGCCCATCTGGCGGGACCGTCGGGCCCGCACCACGCCTTCGCGTGAGGAAGCGGCGGCGAGGGGACTTCCGGCCGGGGCAGTGCTCGGAGAGGCCGTCCGGCTGGGAAGCGAGGCGCTGCCGCCTTTAGTCCTGAGGCCCCGGGTTCCGTTTCCAGGGCAGCCCAAGAAACGGAGGCTGGCTCTCCGACCTCCCGAAGAGGGCAGCTGGGGATCCCGGCTTCCGCCCCAGGCGCGCGCGAGGCCGTGCATACTCCCCGGCCTCTGCCGCCGCCCTGTCCCGGTCTCCGACCGCCCTTCCTCGCGGCCGCAGCACCTGGGGTGCCTGCCCACCTGTCCACCCCAGCAAGCTGTGAGACCCCTGGTCCTTGCCGCGTTCCCACCTAGTGACAGCGCCAGGGCGGGACCGCTGTGGCCCGTGTCCGGAGTGGGCAGCTGACGCTCTGCTGCTGATTTTGCCCGCGTGGAACGGGGCCCGGTGTCCCAGATCCTCCCACCTTCCCAGGAAAGCCAGAGCTCTGGATTTCGAAACGGAAACCCCTGGTTTGCAAACGTACAACCCGGACCCGGCACAGCTGCACTCTTCACCCAGTTTGGGGGCTGCCCAGTTGCAAATGTCTCATCAGTAATGACAGCAGACACGGAGGACTGTTATAAAGTACTTTATGAACGTTAACTCATTTGACTCTCACAACAGCTTTAGACGATGGATTCTTTCCAGGGGAGGAAACCGGCACAAAGAGGCTACGTGGCTGTCCCACGTCACACCGTTGGAAGCGGCAGAATCAGAATTTGAGCCCAGGCAGTCTGGCTCGAGCACCTGCTCGTAACACCCCTCTGTGCTAAGCCCTCAGTACCAACTAGAAGTTGCTGTTGGTGATTCTCCCAAATCCCCCTCAGAGACAGATGTGTTCCACCCCGCTGTGGCGACTGCTGATTCACATCTGTGCTCTTCTCTGGGAGGTTCCCTTGGCCACTGGGAGCCACCCTGCCTTGGAGATGGATGCCACTTCCCCACCCGCCCAGCCCACCCCCACCCTAACTGATGCAGGCCGCCGGCTGCTAGAGTCGGGCTCCAGAGCCCTCCGTGGGATTGGGCCGAGGCTGGATGCCCTTCGAAACCACATCCTGGCCCAGCTCCTTCCTGCCCTGTCCTTCCCTCACGCCCTTCTCCTGAAGGTACTCCTTCAACAAACCACCTGCCCAGGAATCCCCATCTCAGTTTCTGGCTCGGACAGACCGGACCCACGCCAGCCTGTCTGCTGAAAGAATGACGCAGACGCTTGTGTGTCCTTTCGAACCAAGAAGGGCCTGAGGGAGACAGGGAGTTTATTCTTGTCCGGCCCAACCCAAGGAGGCAGAGCCCTCGCTGGCCGTGCTACCCCACCGCGACCCCGCTCAAGTCAGCGCGCACACATCCACGGTGGTGGGCTCCTCGCGGGTGAAGCCGTCGCCGAAGCCCTCGTCGTCCACCAGGTCGGGTTTGCGGCAGCACATGGGGCACAGGCGGTTGCGCACAGCAGAGGCCCGGAGCCAGACGACAAGGTTCCAGCGCTCGCCCGTGCCCAGTGGCCGGGCCCCGTGCAGCTGGCCGCCCCGGTGCAGGATGCCCTGGCCCACCACGTGCTCCACCTCCAGGGGTCTGGTCAGGGCTGTCGGTGCCTGCAGAAAGTGGGGCTCAGGCCTGGGCACTTCCGGCTGCCCCAGGCCCGGCCCCGTGGGTCACACACACTCACCTGGAAGAGGCCCCCGAAGTACAAGGCGCCCCCCGTGAAGGCCTTGCCAAGGGCCACGTTGAGGGTGAGCTCGGCGTTATCATAGTGGCAGCCGAGCTCCCGGTCCTGGCCCGGGGCGTATTTGACCACGAAGGCCCGGTGGCTGTCGAGCCAGCCCCCCCCGCAGTCTGGGTACAGCAGGGCCGTCAGCGGCTGCAGGAAGCGCTCCCGCAGTGGCGTCACCACCGGCTCATCCAGGCCCAGCTCGTGCAGCAGCACCTGGGAGGGGGACCCTCGGGTCAGCGGGGAAAGGGACGGGGCCTCACCTGGGGTCCCTGGGGGAGTCTCTTAACAAGGACAGTGTTATCTGCAGATACCAACTCCATAATAATCCTACCATGATCTCATTTTACAGACGGGGAGACCAAGACCCTAACAGGGCCCAACAGCTCTTCTCCAGCACCGCACATACAGCCCCCCAGCGCCTGCTGTCCCTGCCTCACCCACCCCATAATTGTTCATGGTGTTGGGTCTTCCCTTGGGCAGGTCTGACTGCTCGAAGTGCTCCAGCTCCTCCAGCAGGGCCCGGCAGAACGCTGCTGTGAACACCGGCACCCGGTAGATACGCTTCTCCCCTGCGAAGAGAGGGACAGGGTTGGCTGGGCACTCCAGTGTGGGTCTTTGTCCTCTGGAGCTGTGTGAGCCTGTGCATGCCTGGTCACCTCCCTCTGCCTCAGTTTCCTCACCTGTACAATGGGGAGGACACGGGTACTCACCTCTCAGGGCTGTTGTGACCACTACGGACATACTGTGTGGGCGGCAGGGAGGCCTCTTCCTGGGCCCCCTCGTTGGTCCCTGGAGCCTCTCCCCCTGCTTCCAGAGCCACCCACACATCTAGTCTCTAGACTCTGATGGTGAGTTCTGATGAGGCCCAGAGATGGGAAGGGATTAGCCCAGTGACCCCCAGCAGGCCAGTGATGGAGCCAAGCAGGGATCACAGAGCCGCCTCAGGCTTTCTCTGGCCACCAACATTTGCACCCCAACTGAAGTGCCTTTGGAGCCTCTGTTCCTCACACAGGAGGGGTGAGGGGGGCCTGCTTCTTCTTACTGGGCCCTGTTATAGAGAGGCCAAGCAGAGAACAGAAATACAAATATTTCTGGGCAGATGGACCAGTGCCCTAGGGTGCCGTGTTCGTATGGCCCCCACTTTCAGCCAGCTCACAGCCCAGCCCCCCGCCCCAGACAACCTGCACACAGTCTTCACTGTCGGGGAGTGAATGGCAATGAGGAGGGGCCCCTCCAGTCTAGGAGGGATGGCTTCGTTCACATTCCAGCCTGTGCCTCACAAGAGAGCACAAGCATCATAAAGGGAGCAACACTGCACACCTGTCTCCCCAGGGTACTGCCAGACCTAGGAATAACAGTAACCGTAAGATAAGGGAACCTTTCCTGAGCACTGTGTCCCCGGGCCGTTCAGCACATTACCTCGCTTAATCACACTTTAGGAGATGGGTATCACTAGCGCTCCCCATTTCACAGATGATGACGCTGAGGCAGAGGGATTCAAGGAACTTGGAAGGGCTGGCACTTCCTGCTGGGTTTTGCCAGAGATCCCAGCAGGAGATCCAAAGGAGGAGAGATGGGGCATTTTTGAGGTTCGTTTGGCTTTGTGCCTCTGCTCAAGGTCACAGCAGTTACCTGGCCGCCCGTCTCCCACAACTCCAGGTCGTGCAGGTTCAAGAAATTTCATTCTCGTCCACTTCTCCAGGTGTAGGAATAGCAACTGTCTGCTTCCCAGACTGCTGTTAGCCCTGGGCTGGGGGGTTTGGGGTGGGTGCTTCACTGTCATGCAAACCTGTCTTAGTTGTCCCTTTGTGAAGTTCCTCAGTCCCCACCCCTCAAACGAGTATGCCAGCTGACTCACCCCTGAAACGGGCACTGAGTATGTGCTGGGCAAGTGAGTAAGTGAATACTGACGCCCAGTCCCTGGCAGGTCAGTCCCACCAGCCCTTCTAGCTCCTGCTGGTTTGGATTTTGGAGGCAGACATGGCGGAGGGACCCCAGTGTCCCACCCCCCAGTCCTACTCCCACTAGGGGATGGGGCCAAGACCTCACCAGACACCGTCTCCAGCCGCTGGAGAAGGCCTTCGAAGTCTGCACCTGGTGACGTGCTGTACTCAGCTGCGGCCAAAAACTCGGGGGCCAGAGCCTCATCCTGGGGGCAGAAGGCACTAGCGGTGAGGCAGACGGGTCCCAGGCCAGGACGCCTCCACCTCCTTCCAGTGACCTGGCCCCGCCGGGTACCTGCAGCGTGTTGTAGACATCGGGCCTCACCGGGTGGTAGGATTGCGAAATGAGGGCTTTCCTGGCAGCCGACTCCTGCCCCAGCCGCTGCCGTCGCTCCACCTCCTGCTCAAGCTGCGTGGCAGAGGGCCCGGTTACCAAGATGGAGCCTCCCATCACCCCCACCCCAAGGCCACTATGCAGAGGAGGAAACTGAGGCTCAGGAAGGCCACAGCAGGGCCTGGGTTGAGACCCAAGTCTGTCTACACACCTGACTCCCTCGGTAAACTGCCGGTGCCAAGCTGTTAGCTGAAGGCAGCTCCTTCTGGAAGGGGCCCACCCTGCTCTGGGCTGCACAGTTCAGAGCCTGACTGGGATGGGAACCCCTGGACATGCTCCACCAGCTGGGCTGCTGAGGGAGAGGAATGGAATCCCAGCCGGGTGTTGTGTTCCAGAGGCTGCAGGGGGAAGCTTCCCCTTACTCACCCCCAGGCCAGGAAGGAGACAGAAGATGCCAGCAGCTCTGGCACCCACCAAAGTGGGGGTGGGTGAAGAGAGGAAGAGGCCAGAGCCTGGCTGCCCTGGTGGGATCTCAGCTCCTCCTGCTGTGAAACCCCGGGCAAGTGTCTCAAGAGGGTGTGAGGCAGACAACTCGGCATTTTCCACTTTCTCTTTTTCTGGTGCCAAGCCCCAGGCGCTGCAGTGAGGCGGCGTAGGAAGAGGGCAAGCCGAGGTCTAAGGAGCCCTTCAGGGACCTAGGGCTGGGAGGCCCCCTCGAACTGCTGGCCCAGTCTGAAGAGGAAGGGCAAGGCTGGCTGTGGAGGGGCAGAGGCGGGCAGTTACCTCTCCTACGAGCTGCTGGAAGTCCTTGGGGCTGACACACCCGCGGCTGCGCAGGATCTGAGAGCAGAAAGTCCAGTGAGCAAGTCTCCTAATGTCTCTGGGCCTCAGTTTCCCCTCGTGGAGGTGGAGAGGAGAGCCCCGAACCGACGGGGTCATTGTGAGGAGGACAGTCGAGAAGCTCGCTCAACGGAGAGCGGGGCTCCCAGCTGCAGTTAGGAACCGCGCCGAGGGGCTCCCCGCGCCGGCCCCTGCCCGAAGCACTTTACAAGGACGCTCATTCATTCGTCGCTCACGACAGCCTCAGCGGGCGATATTGCTCTACCCGCTGAAGGGCCCTGCTCTCCAGGAAGGATCCATTTCCCCAGTTCTGTGTGCACCCAGATCGGAGCACCCGAGCCCAGCGAACGCCTGCCGCCCGCTTCTCCGCAGAGCCAGTGCAGGCTACTCACCGGGCCGTAGTCCCGGAGCAGCTGCTCCTCGCCCCGGAAGCGCACGTGGAGCCCGTAGCGCGCCACGTACAGGTTCTCGTAGCAGAAACAGGCGCAGCGGCAGAAGCGCCGCGGGGCCCCAGCCGTCGCCATGGCGAAGAGGCGCGCGCCTCCCCGCCGGCTTCCGTAGGAGCACTTCCGGCGCGCCCCCAGCGGGGCGTGGCTTGGCGGGGAGGTGGCGGCAAGGGTGCGTTCCAAGTTCCCAAGTGCAGAAGAGAACCAAGACGCCGCCGCAAAAAAAGGGGTGCGGCGGACAGAGATGCTCCCAGGCCGGGGTGTGGCGGACGGGCTCGGCTGCGAGCGCGTGGTCTTCTCGTGCCGCCTCACAGCTTCCCCATCCACAGGGAGGGGACTAGTCTCCCCACTCTACAGATAGTCAAACCGAGTCACACCTCCACGGGCCGGGGGCAAGTTGGGACTTGGAACCCCTCAAGGCTTTTTGTTAAATGCCGCTTCCCTCCTCTGCTCGGAGCTTTGGAAGAGGCAAACGGCAGGAGGGTAGTTAGACGATGCCTGGGGTCCGAGCGCTCCAACTTGCCACTAGCCCGTTCTGTGCGTCTGAGCCTGGGTTTAGCAGTCTGCCCGGGCCCCTGTCCGGCACTCCTCGAGCCTTCGCCGCGGTGTCGGGATTCGCCGCCGAGGCCCCGGGCGAAAGCCTCCCCGCGAAGACGCTCCGTCCGGCGTGACTTCCGGTGGCGGGGCCGAAGGGTTGGAGTGTGGGCGGGGAGCAGGGTGTGGTCTGTAGGCGGCCACACCCCGCACCGCGCGGTCGGAGTTCTGCACAGCCGCAGTGTGAGATGAGTATGTTTCTTGTAGAGCGTGCACCCCCAGCTCAGGGAGACCCATCGTAGCTCCTACGTCTCTTACCCCGGGGATCCCCACCTTGGTCCGCCGTGCACCCTGCAGGCCCGGGTCTGCAAAGCTCCTGGAGGAAGCTTGGACCTCAGCCCTGTTGCTAAGATGGGGAAACTAAGGCTCGTTATAGGGGATGAAGCCCCCTTCCCGATCCTAGAGTTCCGTCCCTGTTCAGCTTGGTGCGAGGATGGGAGTGGGGAGGAAGACTCCCCTCTTAGCCCGGGTACACAGGTGACCACAAATGGTAACTCCTGTTGGCCGATCTCCCACCGTCTTTCCTTGTATCCGTACAGCAAAGCTTTGAGCGAGGTACTGTTATGTCACCCATGTTACAGATGGGCAAACAGAGGCTCAGAGAGGGGCGGCGATGCCCCAGCGTTCACCACAACAGGGTTTCTCAGAATGGTTGGATTATGAGGGATTTCAAATTTCCTCTCTGTGCTTGTTGGGGTTTATTTTCTTGATGCTTTCCTTTCCCCCCGGATGTATGCACAGGTTTACACTCACATCCACAGTGAGACACTTAACACACTCAAACACACCCTTAACGTGCTCACACGCATTCACACACCATCACACGTGTGCTCATGCCATTGACACACTCACACCTAGTCATACACAGCACTTCACATACAGACACAGCCGCACACTCATTCACACACGCAATACTCATGCACACCTTCACACACCTATCACCCACACTCACACATCCAGCACAGCCCCTGGTTCCTCCCAGCTTTGTGGGAAATTGGGCCCCGAGGCTAAGGTCCCAGGGCCCCAAAGGGAGATGGGAGACTCTCACATCCTGTGCGACCATGCCAGACCGTCCTTTCCAGTTCATGGAGACATCCACGAACATGTCTGGGGGTCCAGATCTCCCGCCAGCACCTTGAGGGGCTGGGAGAAGGCACAATTCTGCTCTCAGGGCAAAACCTACACCAACAGCCTGATTGGTTTTCACCCTGGCTGGCCAGCGGCATCCTGAGTGATGGCGGTGAGCATGTGGAAGTGCGTTTTGAGTGACAGATAAGCTCCCTGCGCTTCTAGTGTCAGTCAAGGTGGGGAGACGGGAGTAAGCAAGGAAACAAGTACGCGATCAAGTTATTTTCATTCAGTCGTAAGTGCCAGGAAGACAAGCTAGGTGATGGGGTGGTGAATGCCTGGAGGTGGCCGCTTTAGACCGATGGCCGGAGAAAGCCTCCCAAAGAGTGGCATTTCAGCCGCACTCCAAGGCTGCAGCAAGATCTGGCAGGAGAGGGTTCTAGGCAGGGGAGTTAAAAGTGCAAAGCCCAGCAGTGGGACGAGCTAGGCGTGCTTGAAGAACAGCAAGGCATACGAGAGGACAAGTCCTAGGGAATGAGGCCAGGGTGGTATTCCGGCCAAACCACTGGGCTTAGGACACCACTGTTAACATTTTGGATTTTACTCTACACATGAAGGGAAGCTGCCCAATCCTCACAACAAACCATAAGGGTAGGAATTATTCCCATTTTGCAGAGGTGGAAAATGAAGGTCAGAGAGGTTGAATAGCCCACCCAAAGTCAGATGCCTCACAAGTAGTAGAGTCTGGAATAGAACAGGAGTCTGAGCCACAGGGATCCTGGGACCCAGCCCAAGCCTCCTAAAGGTACCAGGCTTCCCCAAGGGGGAGCATGACCCTCAGGGGCTGCTTCCTTCTCAAGGACCCAGCTCCGCAGCCCAGAGCTGTGTGGTCTGAGAAGGTGTTTAAACTTTCATGGGTGTCTTGATTGCCCAATGATAGTGAAGGGCCCTGATCTCCAGGAAGGATCCATTTCCCCAGTTCTGTGTGCATTACCCCCATAACTGCCTTCCTCCCTCAGAGGCCCAGGGCAGGCCTGGCACATGCATCCCCCCCACCCCTGCCAGTGCATACTGTTTCTCCCTTTGCAGTAGTTTGCAAGATAAGCATGTTCTGCTTATCCGTTCAGACCGGCTCTCCCAGGGGCCCCCTTCTCCTTGGAATCAGTGTCTCCACCCCTACCCCGCCCCAGTCTGGATTCAATCACCAAACGGAACAACAGCAAGAATATTAATAGTAAGTACTGGGTCCGTGTGTTCTCAACAAGCACTGATGTGTTTTTGTTGTGTGTGGTGGGAGGGTATTATAGATTTTTTGAGATTTTTTTTTTTTTTTAAGTAATCTCTATACTCCACGTGGGACTCGAACTCACAGCCTTGAGATCTAGGAGTTGCATGTTGTACCAACTGAGCCAGCCAGGCGGCGCCCCTGTGTGAGGTAGTATGAAACCTATTTTACAGATGAGGCTCCGTGAAGTATAGGGGCCTGTCTAGGGTCATAAACCTAGTGAGTGGCAGGACCAGAATTACAGCACACACCCTTCTATCTGATTCCAGAGTGTGTTGGTGGGGGAGGGGTATGCATGTATATGTACGTGAATATATGCGTGTTACATGTGTAAATATTTCTATATATGTATCTATACACAGACTTGATTTTATAGAGAGCACACTATTAAAAAAGGGCACATGTCAGGAGTACAGCTGGTGAATCTTTACAAACCACACACCCACGTAACCAACATCCAGATCCCCCAAACAGAACATTCCAGCCCCCACCGTGTCCCTGCTCAGCCACTACCCACCTCCCAAGGCAAATCACTATGGGGACTCCTAAGAGCCAAGATTAGTCTTGCCTGTTGTTGAATTTGATACAGATAAAATCAGATACTATGTATTATTTTGCATGCGGCTTCTTTCACTCAGCATTCTATTGGTGAGATTCATGGCTCTTGTCCTGTGTAGTGGCAGCTCTGTGCTTTTTCGTGGCAGCCTAGTGTTCCACCGGATGACCACTCTATCCCCTGAGCCATTCTGCTGATGAAGGCCACTTGTATCGTTTCCAGTTTGGAGATGTCATGAATGAGGCTGCTAGGAACACTATAATTTATTTACCTCAGTAAAATACACATAACATAAAACCATTTTAACCATTTTAAAAACAGGCTTGACTTTTTTTTTTAAGATTTTATTTATTTATTTGACACAGAGAGAGAGATCACAAGTAGGCATAGGCAAAGAGGCAGGCAGAGAGAGAGGGAGAAACAGGCTCCCCGCTGAATACAGAGCCCGATGTGGGGTTCGATCCCAGGACGCTGAGATCATGACCTGAGCCGAAGGCAGAGGCTTAACCCACTGAGCCACCCAGGTGCCCCCAGACTTAATTTTTTTAAAGATTTTATTTATTTGGGGGCACCTGGGTGGTTCAGTCATTGGGTGTCTACCTTCACCTCGGGTCATTGTCCCAGTGTCCTGGGATCGAGTCCCATATCAGCTCCCTGCTCAGCAAGGAGCCTGCTTCTCCCTCTCCAACTCCCCTGCTTGTGTTCCCTCTCTCACTCTCTCTGTCATAAATAAATAAAATCTTTTTATTGCGGCGCCTGGGTGGTGAGCCAGTGGGTTAAAGCCTCTGCCTTCAGCTCAGGTCATGATCCCAGGGTCCCAGGATCGAGCCCTGCATCAGGCCGTCTGCTCAGCAGGGAACCTGCTTCCTACCGCCGCCCCCCTCGCCTGCCTCTCTGCCTACTTGTGATCTCTGTCTGTCAAATTTTTTTTAAAAAAAGATTATATTTATTTGATAGGGAGAGAGAGGGCACAAGCAGGGGGAGCAGCAGGCAGAGGGAGCGGCAGAAGCAGACTTCCCCACTGAGCAAGGAGCCTAATGGGGGGGCTCAATCCCAGGACCCTGGGATCATGACCTGAGCCGAAGGCAGATGCCTAACTGAGCCACCCAGGTGCCCCTAGACTTTACTGTTTAGAGCAGTTTAAGGTTCACAGCAAAATTGAGTGGAAAGTACAGAGATTGATCATATGCCTCACCCCCACCCCCACTGTCAACCTCCCTTCCCAGAGTGGTACATCTGTTACAACCCATTCCTTCACATCACACATTATTGCCCAGTGTACACTAGGCTTCACTCTTGGAGTCGTATATTCTGTGGTTTTTTACAACGTAGAATGACACACCTCTACCATCATGGTCTCATACAGAATAGTTTCACTGCCCTCCAAATCCTCTGCGCCCTCTCTGTTCATCCCTCCCCCATCCCTACCCTCTGTTCATCCCTCCCCCACCCCTACCCCCGGCAACCACGGATCCTTTTACCACCTTCATGGTTTTGTCTTTTCCAGATGTCATATAATCAGAATCATCCCCTCGCCTTTTCAGATTGGCTTTTTTCACTTAGTAATTGACATTTATGTTTCCTCCATGTCTTTCAGTGGCTTGATCACTGAATACTAGTATATTGTCTGGATGGACCACATATAAGTAAGTGGCACTTACCACTAAGTGAAATGATTTTATGTATTTACCTGTTGGTTTCCTATCTCCCCTACTCTGCAAAGGATGGGGTTTTTCTTTTTTTTTTTTAAGATTTTATTTATTTATTTGACAGAGATCAACGACAGTGGATCCATCCACCTACTAAAGGGCATCTTGCCTGCTTCCAAGTTCCAGCAATTATGAATAAAGTTTCGATAAACATCTGCTTGCAGGCTTTTACATGGACATCAGTTTTCAGCTCATTTGGGTAAATAACCTAGGCATGTGATTGCTGAATCATACAGTAAAAGTATGTTTAGTTTTATAAGAAGCCACCAAATCCTTCAAAAGTAACTGTACTGTTTGCATTCCTACCAGCAGTGCGTGCGAGTTCCTGTTGCTCCACGTCTTCCCCAGCATTTGGTGCTGTCTGTGTTTTGGATCTTAGCAATTCTATGAGGTCGGTAATGGTATCACGTTGTTTTCATTTGCAATTTCCTAATAACATGACGTGGAGCATCATTTCATATGTTTATTCATCACCTGTATATCTCATTTGGTGAGGTGTCTGTTCAGGTCTTTGCCTCTTTTTAAAATTGGGCTGGTTTTGTTGTTGTTGTTGTTGTTGTTGTTGTTTATTGTTGAGTTTTGTATATTTTGGATAACAGACTTTATCAGATACAGGTTTTTGTGGATATTTTCACCCAGTCTGTGGTTTGTCGTCTCATTCTCTTGACCATATATTTGCAGAGCAGTTTTTTTTTAAGATTTTATTTATTTATTTGACAGAGAGAGATCACAAGTAGGCAGAGAGGCAGGCAGAATGGGGGGAGGGGGAGGAAGCAGGCTCCCTCCTGAGCAGAGAGCCCGATGTGGGACCCGATCCCAGGACCCTGAGATCACGACCCGAGCCCCTGCAGAGCAGTTTTTAATTGTCATGAAGTTCAGCTTATCAATTCTTTCATGAATCATGCCTTTGATGTTGCATGCAAAATCGTCTTCATACAGGGCGCCTGGGTGGCTCAGTGGATTAAAGCCTCTGCCTTTGCTCAGGTCATGATCTCAGTCAGGGTCCTGGATGGAGCCCTGTGTCAGGCTCTCTGCTCAGCAGGGAACCTGCTTCCCCCTCTCTCTCTGCCTACTTGTGATCTGTCTCTCTGTCAAATAAATAAATAAAATCTTTTTTAAAAAAATCGTCTTCATAGCCAAGAAAAATCCAGATTTTTTTTCCCTATCCTCTTAGAGTTTTATAGTTTTGCATTTTATATTTAGGTCTGTGGTCCATTTTGTGTTAATTTTTGTGAAAGGTGTGAGGTCTGAGTCTAGATTTTTTTTTAACATATGGATGTCCAGTTTTTCCAATACCATTTGTTGAAAAGGTTGTGTTTGTTCCTTTGTACTGCCTTTGCTCCTCTGTCAGAGATCAGTTGACTGATTTACATGGGTCTATTTCTGGACTCTCTATAGTGTTCCATTGATCTGTGTGGCTATTCTTTCATCAAAACCACACTGACTTGATCACTGTAGCTTCATAGTAAGTCTGGAAGTCAGGCAGCGTCAGTCCTCCAACATTGTTTTCCTCCTTCAATACTGTGACGGCTGTTTTCACTCAGCAAAGATGTTGGAACCTGGATCTGGACCGAGCTCTGAGGCACTCTGACGTTTGGATAGCCCGTCCAGGATACTTTCTTCACGTACAATCATATATTTGCTTTTTGTGTTTGCATGAACGTTAGCCTGCTCCAACTTTATTCTGTCCCTTGGTTTTACCCAATCAATTTAGGAGGTCATTCCGTACCTATACATAGCTACTGTATGCAGACACATACAAACATACGTTGCTTTATTCCCTGCCGCACTTTTCTGTTGAGCCCCGCTCTGTAATGATTTTGCCAGTTCCCTATGGAAGGGTATTAAGGGTATTTTCAGAGTTTTGCTACTACAGTAACTATCTGCAAACTAGGATCTTTGCTCCCCTCGACCAGTCTTATCTATGAAGAAAATCCTACTGGGTCAAAAAAAAATGCTTTTTAAAATCTGGACTTTGCCAAATTCTCCTTGAAGGAGGCTGTCCGTGTGAGTGGCAGAGGCTATTTTAAATTCGGAGTGCTTTAAGCCTTTGACTGAAGGATGGAGAGGTGAGGGGATATGTTGCCCCACCTGCCACCCCCTCTGGGCCTTGATCTACTTTCCCAGGTTCTTGGTTCAGGCCGCACTGTTTGCCCGGAAGCCTGGTCACCTTGCACCTTTCCCAGAGAGCCCTTCCCAGCTTGAGTGGCCCTGTGTCACTTTCCGTGGCCGCACCCAGTTTTATTCCTTTATGGCACTTACCACTAAATGAAATGATCTTACGTACTTACCTGTTGGTTTCCTGTCTCCCCTACTCTGCAAAGGATGGGGTTTTTCCTTTTTTCTTTTTTTAAAGATTTTATTTACTTATTTGACAGAGAGAGAGACAGGGAGGGAGGGAACACAAGCAGGCTTCCCCGTGAGCAGGGAGCCCGACACAGGGCTTGATCCCAGGACCCTGGGACCATGACCTGAGCAGAAGGCAGACACCCAGGCGCCCCCCCGGGGTCTTCCTTTTTTCACATTCAGCTGTATTCCTAGCACGCTGCCCCTAGCAGTCCCTCAGTGGGTATTGCTGCTTCCCCTCTCTCAATCCCTACAATCCTGCTCTACTTTTCTCTCTAAAATGTCTTCCCTTCCAACCAGATGTAACTGATTTATGTATGGTGGGTTTTGCCTGCCTCCCTCACTAGAGTGCCGGCTCCAGCAGGGCCCAGATTCTGTTTGCACACTGTTGCATCTCAACAGATTAGAATGACACATGGCACATAGTAGGTGCTGCACAAATATTTGTTGGAAGAAAGAAAAGAGAGAACGACAAAGAGGAAGGAAGGGGGGAAATGAAGGAAGGAAAAAAGCAAAGATCGTAACTCCCACATGGGCTGGCAGGTTGTCCCTCCGGAGGAAAAGACCCAGTAAAGAGCTAGCGCCCCCACCAGGTTGGGCCTGGGGCCTCCAGACCTGGAGCACAGAGCTGGAGGGCCCCGCTAGGCGGGAGGGGGCGGGGCCCGTCTCAGGTGGGGGGGTGGGGAGGGCTAGCTCTGGCCCCGCCCCCATATGCCCCGCCCCGCCCGGGAGCCCCGCCCCACCCGTCAGCTGGCCCGGGCTCCCGCCCGGCTCCGCTCCGACCTTGCAGCGGCGCAGCCAGGGTGGGAGGAGGGGAGGAGCGGCGGGAGGAGCGGCGGGAGGAGCGGCGGGAGGAGCTGAGCGAGTGCAGTGCCGGGCGCAGTCTCCAATGAGCCGCGCGGAACCTGCGCCCCTGACGACCCGAGCCCCCTGCGCCCTTTCCCTACGGCTCACCTGGTGCCAGGTAAGGTAACAGGTAAGAGCGCGGCGCCCGGGTCCCCCGAACACGTCGTTCTCAGGCCGAGGTGCCAAGCCGGACACAGGCTGGGGGCGTCTGGGGCCCCCTGCCTCCGAGGTGGAGTAGGCAGCACCGTTGGAGGTGGCAGCCTTCCGGGAGCCTTCTCGCCCCCGCTCCTGTCCCCAGGCGTCCTCAGCTGCAGGTCCCAGCCCCCCATCCCTGCAGCAGCATCCTTTCCACGCCCGCAGGACGAATGTTGCTTGCTTTTTTTTTTTTTTTTTTAACTCCTCACGCGCCGCTGCCTCTTGGAAAATTGTGGGGGTGGCTTTTGGGGAGGATCATGCGATGGCTGTTCTCCCCCCAGGATCGGAATGGTGCGACTTCCCGTGGCTCCCCACGTTCTACAGCGGGTGCCTGCCCACGGGTCCTGAGCACCCTGGCTGTGGCAGAAGCCCAGGGGGGCCGACCTGGGCCTGCCTTACCCCTCAGTTTCCCCCGCTGGTCAGTGGGCTGACGTTCCACACGCATTCACCCTGGCAGTAAGCCTGTGGGTTCCCAGGGGCTCCTCCCTTATTTCTGGATCTGTGTTAAAACAGGATGGCTCCTTCCCCCACCTGATGTCATTAAAAACAGCTTTAAGCTGAAGCTGGTCTGTCAGGATTCACTGTCCTGCCCTCTGCCCCACCCCCTGGAGACAGGCTGGCCTCCATCCCTGCCTCAGAGGGCAGGTGGCAGGTGACCAGAGGAGGGTTATAGAAAGGCCACCGTAGCTCCCCAGCCACGAGTTACCTGAAACAACTTTCCCAAGTCTCTGAGAGAGGGCAAGTCCCAGCATGAGATGCAGTGGGCTGAGCAAGGCTGGAGTCAGGATGGCACAAAGTGGACCCAGCCCCGTCCTGGCACTGCATCCGGAACACCCCTGCCCCGTGACACAACCCTCCGTTAGCCAGTGTGCTGAGCAGTGAATGGGCCTTTCTGCTGCTGTGTGATGACCGTATGGGGTGAAAAGTTAGGAGTGGACCAAGATGCTTGGACCACCTAGGTCCGTGAGTAGCCTGGGCACGTGCCGTCCAGAAAGTCCAGTGTTGGGTTTCAGTCCTGCCTTTGTCTGGTCTCTGCATGCCACTTATCTTCTCCAGGACTCTGTTTCCCCATCTCTAAAGTGGGGGTGATCATGCGAGGACCTCCCACAATAGTGGCAAGGATGAATTCGAATGGGAGATGCTGGGCACTTAGCCCATTGTTTGGCAGTGAGTAGCACGCCGTAAACAGTAGCTGTTACGGTTGTAATAGTAGTTGTCATTTATTATTTCCTATGTGTTGCACTTTCTTTCTGTGCAGCTGACAGCGGTAGGTGCCCTGACCACCATTTCTACTGAGACAAAGCCTTCGGCAGGACCCCCTATGGGGATGGGGTCATTTGCTAACCCTGTGCCATTCCTTAGCTTCTGGGGGCAAGCTGAGTTGCCCCTGTCTTCCCCAGGCTTTGTCACATCCTGGGCAGTGCCTGCTCTGGCCTCTGGCCACCACCTTGTCCTTGTCCCTTGGGCCACTCTCGTCACCCATGTGCTCACACTTTGCCCTCCAGCTCCACCTGGCTGAGCTCGGCTGCGTCCTCCAGATAACGGAAGCTGGAGAGCGGGGCTGGGCCTCCAAGCAGCCCGATGGTCCTCATTCTCCGCTCCTCACAGTCTTGCCTAGTGGTCTTGTCCCTTTCACCCTCCTGCTCAGTAACTTGAAAAATAACAGAGTAGCCTGTCCCCACCGAGGGCTGTAACCCGACCCGAGTTGGATTCTGCTCCATCAGAGCCTAGAGTACAAGGACTCAGCACTTGGGAGTATGAGGCCTTGGTGCTATAGCTGCTCTGTCCTCAGCTTGCTGGGTGACTCTAGACAGGCTCCACCCCTGCTTCCCTGTGCCTCAGTTTCCCCGTCCATACAATGTGATTCAGATAGTCTGTAATGCTGGAGTGTGAAACTTTGCTTATTCTGGTGAAGGTAGACAGCTGGGGTACCCGTGTTGATGGCTGTCAAATGGGGTTGACGTCACCCCAAGTGGAGGGATGTTGGGAAGGAACTCCCCCAGGGACTGGGAGTGGGAGCAGGAAGAGTAGGCCAAGTCCCTCAGCTCGTCTCGGGCAGATCTGCCTCCTGTTCTACTTCTGAACCCCAGCTCCCTTCCAGGGCTAAAGGACTCCTTGTGCCCACCAAGAGGTGAGCAACAGCCAAGGTGGCTGGCAGGGCCTGGGTAGCAGGCGGTGGCTTGGCCCGGAGGCCTGGTGCGGCACTGGGCCAGGATCATCCCTCCCTGGGCTCCGAATCACGCTCACCCACTCACTGGCTTCCCGAGGCCTCTGCATTGCAGCAGATGGAAGCCTTTGCTGGCAGCCCAGCTGGGGCTCGGGGTGGAGCAGGGAACTGGGCAGGGGGTGTCTGTTCCCACCAGCCCTTGCCCTGCTGCCTCCCCTGCCCCTGGTCCCATTCAGCTCTGGCTTTCCTTGGAGCCCCAGCTGCTGACAGGGGATCCTTCTCTGGCACTGACTTGAGTCTTACCTGGAAGTGCTAGGCTTTAGACAGGGCCCAGGCTCAGGGGCTATTAAGCCTGGGTCCTTTCTGCATCTCAGACTCCACCTCCCCCAGCGACATTAGGTGGTCTTGCCTGCCCCTGGAGAGGCTGTTTTGAAGCATTAGGGCTTTGGAGCTGAGAGCAAAGACTTCTGAACTCCACAGCCTGGGTTCACATCCCAGCTCTGCCACTTCCTAGCTGTGTGATCTGGGACAGCTCACTTAACCTCTCTGTGCCTCAGTCTTCTTGACTGTAAAATGGAGATAATAATAGATCACAAAGTCCTTGTGAAGATTCATGTATTTAAATCACATTCATGCATTCAAGTCCTTACACAAACACTCCCTATCAGCACTTGAATTGACAAGTGTTTTAGCTTCATAGTTTAGAGCCCAGATTCTGGAGCCAGATAGCTCTGGGTTCAAATCCCGCTCTGCTACTCACCAGCTGTGTGATCTTGTACAAGTTCATAATTTCTCTGGGCTTCAATCTCTCCATCTGCTAAATGGGGTTGAGGATAGTACAAACCTCACATGTTGTTTCAAGGGTTAAATAAGCAAACACATATAGTGCATGGCCTGTATAAAAGGCTGGGCCTGGGGCTTCTGGCTGGCTTACTCAGTAGAGCATGTGATTCTTGATCTCAGGGTCATGAGTTCAAGCCCCATGTTGGGCATGGAGCCTACTTAAAATATAAGATAAAGTTAAATGCTATTTAGAAAAAAATTTTTAAAAAATTCTATAAGGGACACCTGGGTGGCTCAGTCGGTTACGCCGCTGCCTTTGGCTCAGGTCATGATCCCAGGGTCCTGGGACCGAGTCCCCCATCAGGCTCCTTGTCCAGTGGGGAGCCTGCTTCTGTCTCTGCCTGCCACTCTGCCTGCTTGTGCTCTCTCTCTGACAAATAAATAAATAAAATCTTTAAAAAATAAATAAATAAAAATAAAAATTCTATAAAAGACCAGGCCCAGAGGAAGGGCTATGTTACATAACTGTTTGCTTATACTTACTAGGCACCTGCTCTGCTGTACAGAGTTTGAGAGTTAGGTGCTGGGATCCTTTACATATTAGCCCAAGTCCTGCCTTGGGCCTTTGTTGGCAGAGTGATATGGGGCACATGCTTTTGCCTCTTTGTGCCTCAGTTTCCCCCAACTACATATGGGAATGTGGAAGCAACTGCCTCATGGGGTTGTGGGGTTTCTGTCACTCCAGAATGTGAGCCATTAGCCTTTGGGCACCAGAGCTGTAGGGGAAAGGGTCTCTCTAGCTGACCCCCATCCCAGTCACTACTCAGAGTGACCCCTGCTGGCGTTCCATGCCTTTCCTTTCCACGCGGGAACTCCAGAACTTTGCCCATTTTGCAGACCAGATGACAAATACCCCAGGAAGAAAAGGGATGGACCCAAGTCAAGAGGTAGCACTCAGAGGCACACCCCTAGCCCAGTCCCCATCCTGCCCTGGATAGGTCCCACTTCCAAACACTGCCATCAGGCCCACATCCTGCCATGTCCCTGCAGCTCCTGGGGTCTCCTAGGCACTGGCTCAGCCCCAAAGGGCCCAGTGTTTGGGGGGTTGCTTTGGCCAAAGCAGACATCAAACTCCAGAAAACCAATAGGGCCTAGGGCAGGGGGTAAAGGGCAACCTGGGCTGAAGGAAAATATTCTGGAAACTTTCAGGCAGATGTGAAAGTCCCTGGGTTGCTCTAGGGCCTGTGGCCAACCACACCATCCCCCTGACTTCTTGGTCTAAGGCCGGAGTTGGGGAGAACAGGAAACAAACATTTACTATGCACCCACTGTATACAGTGGTAACAGTCAGCAGCAATGGGTATGTGCCAGGCACTGTGCCCAGAGCAGATGTTCATGCACCGAACTCATGCTGTTTTAAAAATGAGGAAATGGGTTCAGAGAAATTAGTAGTAGTGCGGTAGTAGTAATGTACAGTATTACTAGTAATGTACTAGTAATGTATAATAGCACTAGTACTCATACTAGTTACTAGTAGTAAAAACAGCACTTTTTGCTTATCTCAGTTGCATCCAGATGCCGTCACCCTCACCTCCCTGACCCTGTGGGATCCCTCAAGCACGTCGGCGCCCTCCTGTCTCAGGGCAGTGGCAATGTCTGTTCCACCCGCGGATGCTTCCCCCAGATATCTGCGTGTCGGGCTCCCTAACCTCTTTTCAGTCTTGCTCAAGTGTGACCTTCACAGTAAGGTCTTCTCTGGACCCCCTATTTACAACTGTTCTCCCCTCCCCATCGCCCCCCAATTCCCTGCACCCCATTCCTCCCCCCCCACCCCAGCCCTTAGCTCTTATCACACTGTATCATTTACTTATTGTGTTGGTCTGTCTCTGACGTGGGTGTGTCATCTCCGCAAAATTAGGGATCTTTGTGTTTGTTCATTGTTAAATCCCAACACGCAGAACAGAGTCTGGCCCACCCAATACCCACTGATTCTCAGGAAACACTCCTTGAATGAGTGGGATGTTCCCACCAGTCCTATGACTTCGGTGCTCCCGTCACTGCCCTCTCACAGATGGGGGACACCAAGGCACACAGCCACCAAGGCGCAAACCTGAACCCCTTGCCCTGTTGCCCCCAGTAGGTCTGGCCTCGCCCCACGGACCATGGCCTTGCCCCCATGAGCTAGAGCCTGTTCCTTGGCACGCACCCACCGCCAGCCAGCAGGATGCAGCTGTGGAAGGCGGTGGTGGTGACCCTGGCCTTCATGAGCATGGACGTCGGCATGACCACGGCCATCTACATCCTCAGCCACCTGGACCGCAGCCTGCTGGAGGACATCCGCCATTTCAACATCTTTGACTCGGTGCTGGACCTCTGGGCGGCCTGCCTCTACCGCAGCTGCCTGCTGCTGGGAGCCACCATCGGTGTGGCCAAGAACAGCGCCCTGGGGCCGCGGCGGCTTCGAGCCTCCTGGACGGTCATCGCCCTCGTGTGCCTCTTCGTGGGCATCTACACCATGGTGAAGCTGCTGCTCTTCTCCGAGGTCCGCAAGCCAGTCCGGGACCCATGGTTCTGGGCCCTCTTCGTGTGGACTTATATCTCACTCGCCGCTTCCTTCGTGCTCTGGTGGCTGCTGTCCACGGTGCGGCCGGACGCCAAAGCCCTGGAGCCGGGGGCTGAGGCCGAGGCCGACGGCTTCCCGAGGGAGCCCCGACCCCCTCGTGAGCAGGCATCGGGGGCCACGCTGCAAAAGCTGCTGTCCTACACCAAGCCTGACGTGGCCTTCCTTGTGGCGGCCTCCTTCTTCCTCATTGTGGCAGCTCTGGGTAAGTGAGTGCCTGGCAGGCACCCTGGAAAGCAATTTGTGGGGGGGAGTTATATAACCACTGCATCCTTCCTCTTAAATCTTTTGACATTTTATTCACATGGTTCAACATCAAATTGATGTGAAGAGGTGAATACTGAGAGTTCCATTCCCAGTTCTGCCTCTGACGGTCCTGATCTCCCTGCCGAGGGCTAACTACAGGAAATGTTCTGGAAGCTTCCAAGTGGGTGTGAAACCACTTTTATTCATTTCTTGTATACATTCTCCCAGTGTTTCCTGATGAAAGCCAAACAAGCAAAAACGGACCTGTTACTCTCACTACCTCTCACACGTTACTTCGTGTCTTGCTTTTACCAATTAATGACATATTTTAGAAATTTCCAGTCAGTACCTCATTCCTTTATTTGGCTGCATAAGAGTCCCCTGTGAGGCCAGTCCAGAGATTATTTAGTTAGTCTCCTTTTCTTGGCCCTTCGAGTTGTTTTGAGTTTTTTCTCTTACAGTAAATAACCTTGTTTGTACACATTCCATATAAATGTGGGTGTATTTGTAGGATAAATTCCCAGAAGTGGGATCACTGGGTCAAACAAAGCATTTTTTGTAACAGAGCAGGATATACTAGAGACTGTCAGAACACGGTGTCTGTGGTTAGAGTAAGTACTGTGTGGTGAAACTTTTATTTTAGGTACGTGTGCCTGCGTGTGAAGTGAGTGTGTCCGGGTTTGTTGTGTAAAATGCATTTGTTACTATTGGTTCTGGCCCAAACAGTGTGAAAGCGCTTCTTCAGATAAGGCGGGTGGGAAGGTGACATCTCAAGGTCAAAATTCCATGGGTTCCGGGGGCCACGAGCACTGGACATGCATTGCAGTCCTGCTCCCTACCTGGCTGTGTGCTTGTGGGCGAGTTATCAGGCCTTCCAGAGCCTCGCTTCCGTGAAATGGAGACTGTTAGCATCCCCCATGTTTCCTGACGTTGGAAAACTTGAATAAAACGGATAGGAGAAGGGCAGGTCCAGAGCTTGGTACAGTGTGGTAAGTGCTCAGGAATGTTAGCCATTCTGAGTTGTTACACCTTTAACAGACAGCGTCTGGGAGTGGCCCCAAACCCAGACTGTTCTCAGAGAGGACAGGCAGGCCCCAGAGCTGACCCCTGTCCTCTCACTATCGACCTTCTGCCCTCTCAGTCCCAGACCCTCTGCTGCTCTGTGATTTTATGCAAGTTACTTAACCTCTCTGGGTCTCAGTCTCCTCATCTGTTAAATGGGCATAATAGCAGTACCAGTCGTGATCGGGCTTATGAGGTTCAGCAAGCTAATATGGATAAGACACTGCAAACAGCTCCTGGAACCTGGAAGGCTCCCAATATATTTTAGTGCCTGTGAGTGTTGGGCAGACCCTTTTCCATTTAACCAGAGAGTTTTCCCTGCTCATGTTTCAAGGTCCCAATATCCCCTCCTCCAAGAAGCCTTCTTGGATTACAGTGACTGCAATTCTTTATCTGCACCTCAGCTGTAGCACTAGTGACACGAAAATCATGAGTCCACTGTCCTGCTTCCCCTACCAGGCTTTGAGCCCCTTTGGGCCATTTTGGCCAGGTCTGACTCACCCCGGGTCCCTCCCCACCCCAGCCCACAACCTGGTACAGAGGCCGGCTCATGGAATGAATGAGCACATAACCATCCCGCTTGTGTAGCCAGATGTCACCCATGACCTCGTTTCCGCCCCCTGCTGGGGCCCTGTTGTCAGCTGCTGTGTGCTCGGGGAATACAGATGTCCTAAAATACCGCGGAGCAGAGTCTGCCAGCCTGCAGGACTGCGTGGAGGTTAAGGGCTTGGACTCGAGATCAAGCCCCCAACTGCACTGATCGCCTGAGTCAAGGTTACGGAACCTGGCCAAGCCTCAGCTTCTCATCCCGAAAGTAGGGTTTTGCTGGGCTCTTGTGAAAGTTGGGTAAGCTGGAGCACGGTGCGGGGAAGAGTGAGTACTTCCCACAAGGTAGGGACTGTGACTACTGATAATTCTCAGTCAGCCAGTGGAGCATCTCCTAGTACATTACAATCTTTTTATATTGGGTTTCACAGCAACCCGACTAGAAAACCTTGGGCAAATACCTTTGCCTTGATTTCCTCATCTGTAAAATGGGAAGAGTCATGATACCACACCTATGAGATTATTGGGGGGCATATGGGATTTGAAAGAGATTTGGAAGCAGATATCCAGGGCAACAATGCTCTACACAGAGGAAACAGCCCGTGCAAAGGTCCTGAAGCAGGAAGGTGCCTGGTTGTGAAAGGAAAGCGGAGGTCAGTGTAGCTGGGGTGGTGTGGGAGGGTAGACGGAAAGAGAGTAGAAGATGAAGTCAGGGCAGTAGCAGGTGCCTGGTCCTGTAGGGCACCACTGGCCACTGTAAGGACTTTGATTTTTACCTTGAATGAATTGGAAGCCTGAGGAGTGACCAGGTCTGACTGGGTTTCCTAGGGCCCCACTGTGTGCTGCGTGGAGAACAGGCTGATGGGGACAAGGGTGGCAGCAGGGAGAACCAGGAGTTGGCTGAGAAAGTCCAGGTGAGGTTGGAGACTTGAACCCAGGTGGGAGCAGTAGGGACAGTGGAAGAGGTTGGATCTGGAGGTACTGTTGACCTTGAGCAACATGGGGGCAGCTTGAAAACGCTGGTATGACTTCTGACTCCCCAAGAGCTTAACTACTAATAGCCTGCTGTTGCCCAGAAGCCTTGCTGGTCACATAAACAGGAGATTAGCACATATTTTGTATGTCCTATGTATCATACACTGTATTCTTACAATCAAGTGAGCTACAGGAAAGACAATGTTGCTAAAAGTCATAAGGAGGGGCACCTGGGTGGCTCAGTGGGTTAAGCGTCTGCCTTCAGCTCAGGTCATGATCCCAGAGTCCTGGGATCGAGCCCTGCATCGGGCTCCCTGCTCAGCGGGGAGCCTGCATCTCTCTCTCCCCTTGCTCCTGTTCTCTCTCTCTCTAAAAGAAAAAAAAAGAAAGAAAGAAAGAAAGAAAAGTCATAAGGAAAATACATTTATAGTCCTGTAACGTGTTTATGGAAAAAAAACCTATGTGTAAGCAGACCTGCACAACCCGTGTTGTTCAAGGGTCAGCTGTATTTTGAAGGTGGAGCCCCAGGATATGCCAGTGGATTGGAGAGTTTCATGCGATTCTTGCACGGATTTTTTTTTTTAAGATTTTATTTATTTATTTGACAGACAGAGATCACAAGCAGCAGAGAGGCAGGCAGAGAGAGAGAGAGAGGGAAGCAGGCTCCCCGCTGAGCAGAGAGCCCGATGCAGGGCTCGATCCCAGGATCCTGGGATCATGACTTGAGCCGAAGGCAGAGGCTTAACCCACTGAGCCACGCAGGCGCCCCATTCTTGTGTGGATTTAACAAGAGTTTGTGCACATGCTTGACACAGTGCCTGCTCCCCAGGAAGGGCCCCCAAGTGTCTGTTGTGCTTAGTATTATCATTGATGTTTACTGGAGCTGCCTTTGGAGCTCGCTGATGCCCTTGTCTTCCCCGCGGGTGAACTGAGGCCAGACTTCAGCTCAGGTGGGCTCCACAGTGGTGGTGAGGGACCCCATCTAGCAGAGGACCATGGGGACCAAGGCCCTCAAGGCTGCCACCTTGTGGTCCCTGTGCCAAGACCAGCAGAGGGCAGCAGAACCCCATAGAAGGCCTCCCTGTCTCCCACAGAGCTGGCCAAGACTCCTTCGAGGACCCTTACTGAGCTCCTGCTGTATGCCAGGCCACGCCCGTGGGAGGAGCCATAGTGGCAGTGAGGACAGGCCTGGTCTGACCACCTGCAGTCCCGTGTCCATCGTTCCCACAAGTTGAGAGCGGGCTTTCCGGGTTATTGGGAGGGAAGGGGCTAGGAAGGAGCCCCTACATGGGAGGCCAGTTTGCATCTGAGTCCTGGCCTTTCATCTTACCTGCCCTGTGCCGTGTGACCTCTGGTGTCCCAGGCAGAGCACTCCGCCTCTGATCTCCCATTCACCTCTGTGAAATGGGGGTGAGTCCCGCTCGCCCCATCTCCCCACTCCACCTGGCATGTTCTGAAGATACAGGAGGATAACAGGTGGGAAATCATGGCAAAAGGCAAAGCGCTCCACCCAAGGGGCCGGATGGCGATCTCCAGCAGTGCCAGGCACCGAGTGAACTTCGGCCGTGTGGCCCATCTTTCAGCTTCACTGCCCTCGTCTGCAACACGCAGTGATAACAGGCCCAGCTGCCATGTCTGTGCAGAGGGGACAAAGTCCCATGGCTCCGCACGCTCAGGCCTGGTGGCTGTTATTAACAAGATCGCCCCAGGCTATATCTGTTGAATAACCCGTGTTTCCTGCTCTGAAAAGAGGGGGGCCTGAAGCTGTATGGGCCCTCACCCCACCTCCTGCCAGGAGTTCGCCAGGAGAGAGTACCCAGTTAGTGGAGCGAGCGGAGGCAGGGTACGGGCTCCCCTGGCTACAGACGCCCCCTGAGCCCTCCTTGTCTCCTGGCAGGAGAGACCTTCCTTCCCTACTACACTGGCCGGGCCATTGATGGCATCGTCATTCAGAAGAGCATGGAGCAGTTCAGCACGGCCGTCATCGTCATGTGCCTGCTGGCCATCGGCAGGTAGCATGCTCACGCCCCCACGCCCCGCCTCTCCAGGCCCGCGGCAGGGGGAGGGAGGTCGGGGAGGCCCCGGAGAGGGCCCTGGAGAGCCTGTCCCTCAGCCCTTCATCATGGTAACCAACAACCAAACAGGCTCAGAACCTGTATCCACTGATGGATCGCTGCCCTCGAATCACACCCTCTTGGCCCGAAAATTGGCTTCAGGCCTTGAGGCTCCCCTTTCACCCTCCCTGGCTACTTTCCAAGCGGGAAACCAGGGACAGCCTCATCTGTGCTGTTCTGGAAGGAAGAGGGGTCTGGCTGGCAGCCTGGGGTCCCTCGTCCCCAGTAAACACAGTCCCCTATCTGCCCTCATCATGGGGACTCCAGCTGGGGAACAAGGGAGGATGCATGGTGGTGCCAGCCCTGGAAGGGGGCCCAAGGTTGGGTCCCTCCCCGTGTCTGCCCTGCGAGGGGCCCACACCTGCCAGCCGCGGGAGGGGGCAGCCGGGGTGATGGCTGTGGGTTGCCACAGGACGTCGTGCTCTGTGTAACATCTCTTATCTGCAATTAGCTCATTTGCCGCAGGTGTTCGGGGCGGCATTTTTACCCTCATATTTGCCAGACTGAACATTCGCCTTCGGAACCGTCTCTTCCGCTCACTGGTGTCCCAGGAGATGAGCTTCTTTGATGAGAATCGCACAGGTTGGTCCTCCAGCAGCCCGGGGTGGCCTCTGGCAGGGGGCGCGTCTCACGCTGGGGGTTTCGATGGCTGGCTTTTCCCGAGATCCTGTTCAGGATAGAGACACCCTGGGAGGCCCCGCCGGAGGCCTTCGGGAAGCTGGCCTGCTGGCTGAGGTTTGGGTGTGAGCTGTGGCCACTGTAGCAGGACGTTGGCCAGGCCACCCGAGGTCCCTGCAGGAGCCAAGAACTTGCTTTCCACTGTTCTTTGGGAACCACAAAGGCTAGAACTGTCCAAGCCTGGGGCCAGAGAGGCTCAGCTCGAAGCGGGTGTGAGGCGTGGGGCGCAGGGCACTACAGTATCCGGCCAGGATCCCAGGCTCTCAGACAGACTGGCCCTGGTTCCAACACTCGCTAACTTAGACCCTCTGAGCCTCTGTTTTCTCATCTTGAAAATGGGAACGATAGTAGGAGGCAAGTGCTGAAAATTTCTCCTCCTTCCTCCCCCCAGCCCAGATGATTGCTTCTCCCTGAGGGAAGAGGGGGTCATCCCCTCTGCCAGTGACAGGGAGGAGAGATGGGTTTGGTTCCGACTCGGTCAGGGACAGGCCGTGTGGCACCAGCTGAACCTTCCCTTTCTGATCCTCAGCTGCCTCCCCCATACCGTGGGACGTGACCTCAGAAGATGCTAGTGCCGAGGGCCAGGCTCAGAGCACCCCTCAAGGGGTGTCTGCTCTTCTCTCCCCTGCTCCCCTCCCCACCCAGAAAGGAGGGGAGGCCCGAGCTCCCTGCTGCCTGTCTCAGAAGCCCCTTCTTGTCTCCTTGCCCCCAGCCACGGTGGCCCCGTTGCCACAGTGGGAACTGAGCTGCCTGTGTTCCAGGGGACCTCATCTCCCGCCTCACCTCGGACACCACCATGGTCAGCGACTTGGTCTCCCAGAATATCAACATCTTCCTGCGGAACACGGTCAAGGTCACGGGCGTGGTGGTCTTCATGTTCAGCCTCTCGTGGCAGCTGTCATTGGTCACCTTCATGGGCTTCCCCATCATCATGGTGGTGTCTGACATCTACGGCAAGTACTACAAGGTAGGTCCCCCAGGGTCCCTGCTGGGGTCTGCACAGGGCTCCGGAGTGAGGGAGGAGCCTCACGAGGGGTTCTGGGGCGGCCCTGGGGGCTACTAAAGGACTCGTCCACCCACCTGTGCGTTCGGTCATTCAGGGGATCCTTATGAATCGTGTCCTGATCCCAGGCACCAGGATCTATCAGTGGAACAGAAAAGCTTCTGCCCTCAAGGGGCTCATGTTCTAGTGTAAGAGGCAGATGGTAATTGACAGCAGGAATAGCAACAGTACAGAATGATGAAAGGTGGTGGGTGCTAAGGAGGAAAATAAAGTTGGGGGGGCAAGGCAGGTGGCACCTGAGAAGGTGACATTTGAGCAAAGAGGGGGACATCTCCAGGGAAGCATGTTCCAGGCGGAGGGTGGAACCAGTGCCAACGCCTTGAGGTGGGAACGTGCCTGGTGTATTTGAGGAGCCTCCGGGAGGCCAGTGGGGCTGGAGCGCGCGTGAGGGGGCGCGACAAGGAATGAGGGACAGGAGGTGACAAGGTCAGGCTGTAGGCCTTTGCAAGAACTTTGGTTTACACTGAGCGCAGAGCTCTCTGTCTTTCTGGAGAGTGTCGATGTGGGGGTGGCTCAGGCCCCAGGATCCAGGCCCTCACCCGCAAAGCAGCTAGGGGCAGGCTGTGGGCCCCTCTAGCTGCTCCTTGACGCTGCCTCTGCCAGGGAGGCGAGCCTGATGAGCGAGACCCCTGCCTCAGCCTCCTCCTGCTCCCCGCCTTGGTGGGTGGTCCGAGCCGCAAGCAACTGAGGCTGGGTTGAGACAGGTGCAGGCAGCTCCTTCCCCAGGGACCAGGCCTGAGGGGACAGGGGGCCTCCTGGACAGGAGCGACCCGCTCACTTAGAACCTTTGGTACCCATGGCATGAGGCCAGCCCCCAAGTGCATCCTATACCCCACAACCACTGTGGCGCCTTCTGGCAGAGCCCCGTACCCAGCAGGGCCCTCTCCCCCCCCCACCCCGTGATTCCCGGTCGGGGGCCTCTGTTTTCCTCCCTGAGTAGAAAGAGTAAATATATGAGTTGGAGCCATTTCCCTTCCTCTGCTCCCCACCCCGCCCTTCCTGCCTTCCGGCCAGCCCCCAGGACAGGGCAGGAAACCCTAGAGCTTCCCCCCATTTACCCGCCCTGCACACCCCAGTCCCCGCCTTCAAGTTCAGTTGGGCGGGGCCTCGAGGAAGCTCTGGAGCTCTCCTGCTGGGACCTGCATGAGTAC